ATTTGTACTTTCAATTACATTTTAATACTAATGGATTAATTAATCAAAGTTCAAATTGGGAGCGGTGTCACACGCACTGTGTTTTAGTTTTACCTTCTTTGATATTCATCTCGTTTCTAATTCGTGTGGACTGTGGTCGTCCTTTCTTTGAACGCCTACGAGTAAGATCTGGCAGCAATCGAGGGATATTTTCTTCTGGCAAATAGCCCTCATGAGGGATTGGGCAAAACTTAGAGGCCCAAGTTTGAGAGTAGTTGTGAATGATGTAGTATTTTTCAGTGTACGGTATGAAATAAAGTATTTTAAGATGAGTAAAATCTTATTCTTATTATCATGACAACCAATAGGGGCTAATTTTTTTATGTATTTTGTATTATCGGATTAGTTTACGAGGCTCCTAAATATGAAAATTAAGTGAATATGTCATAAACTTTTAACTTTAATTGTATACGCCTATACTATTTTCAATGTAATTTCTATGAAGAATCGAACATGAGAAGCTGTAAAACTAATTTTGAAACCCAGAAATTTGCAAAACAATTAGAAGAGTTGTGATACGCTATCAATTAACAGAGGTTTATTGAATAATTATTTACATACCTGAATCGGAATAGGAGAATTAGAGGAAAACGAAGATGTAATGAACTTGGAGAAGCGAACAATATCCGTAGAAGGAGCAGACAAGTCGCTTCTGTGCAGCCTCAGCAAATGTAACCCCCAAGTCTAAGGAATAATAAACTCCGTAGTGTATTTTGTAAAAAAAATGATTACGTAGAAAAAACGTGTGTTGCATGATTCAAATACATTTAGCAAAGAAGATTTAACAACAAAGTGTACTGGCGGAGTGGTCTTAAAAAATATTAAGACGTGGAATTAAATGACGTGGAATTAGTGACGTGTCCGATTTATTCTAAAAAATATTAAATACTAACATGGCACGTATGACCGGATGTAGGGATGGACCCGGGCCGGTCCGGTTCCGGTTCCGGGTCGGATCCGGGCGGACTTTTTTTGCAAATCCTTGGGCCCGGAACCGGCCCGGGTTGATACCGGGTCCGGGCCTAATCGGGCCGGGCCGGGCCGGGCCCGGTTCAATGTCTTTTTTTTTTTTGCTTTCTTGTTATCCCCCGACCCCCCCCCCTCACCCCCACCCCCCAAACCTCCCCAAAACACCCAGCCCTACCCTAGGAAAAGAAAAAAAATGAAAAAACAAAAAAAAATGACCCGGGCCCGGCCCGAACCGCCCGGGCCGGTTCGCCCAAAACTGGGCCCGAGCCCGGCCCGCCCGGCCCGCCCAAACGGGCTAAAAGCCCGGAACTGGCCAACCGGTCCCGATCCGGTCCGGGCCCGCACTGTAGCGGCCCGGCCCGGCCCGGTTTAGTCCATCCCTAACCGGATGACAAGGCAAAAACTCTCCTTATTCGGTAAATAAGTTAAAAAGTACCTTGGTTTGGGAAATAAGATTGAAAAGTACCCTCCTTTGGGAAAAAACTCCAGCTTTTAAAGTTGTTTACGTGTTTAATTTATCTGTTTTACTAACCTAACTGTGACTTAGCAGCGAAGTAAACACCTCATTGGTGCTTGAAGAAGAGAAGACTTGAAAGTCAAATCTCGCAAAAGGTGGGAGGGGCTCCCTAGGGTTCCCCTAGGGCCGGCCATCATTATGTGAAAGCAAGGCTGTTATGTATTATCATTAATAAACTAGCATAGTACCCGTGCATACGCACGGGAAAAGAGTTGATCTATTTATACTTTTATTCACAATCTAATTAAATATAACATAGGTGATAGAGCTTGATATTTATTGATTGTCATAACATAGGTGATAATTATAGGAAAATATCTTCTCATAAGTTTAAAAGGTCATTAGAGAAAAAATATGAGAAAGGAAATTCTCCAGGTCAATTATTAGTATCTTGATTTTATCTTATCTTATACCTAAAAACATTACATATGAGAGAGAAATTATCCCGCTCAATTATTATTCCACATATCTTATCTTATTTTATACCTAAAAGCATATGTATTAGAGATAAAATTCTTCCGCTCAATTATCAGTTGATCTTCTTATCTTATACCTCAAATCATTACATATGAGAGAGAAATTATCCCGCTCAATTATTAGTCTAGTTATGTAATCTTATTTTATCTTCTTATACCTAAAAGCATTACGTGTTAGAGAGGAAATTCTCCCGCTCAATTATCAATTGATCTTCTTATACTTAAAAGCAGTACGTATGAGAGAGAAAATTCTTCCGCATAATTATTAGTACGCTTATCTTATACCTAAAAGCATCACGTAGGAGAGAGAAAATTCTCTCACTCAAGTTTTAGCCAGCTTATCTTCTTTTATATACCTAAAAGCACTACGTATGAGAGAAAATTCTCCCGCTCAATTAATAGTCTTCTTATCTTATACCTAAAAGCACCATGTATGAGAGGCAAGATTCTTCTTCTCAAGTTTTAGCAAGCTTATCATATATAGTGCTAAATGGCAAAGTATTTTTGGGACAGGGGAAGTATATAATAAATAGGTATCAGCATTTATTTAATTGTAAAGGGTTGACAATTTTGTATTCTTAGCATTTGACTTCTTTCTAGTCTTGTACCTAAAAGCATTACATATGAGAGAGAAATTATCCCGCTCAATTATTAGTTCACATATCTTATCTTATCTTATACCTAAAAGCATTACGTGTTAGAGAGAAAATTCTCTCGCTCAATTATCAGTTGATCTTCTTATCTTATACCTAAAAGGATTACATATGAGAGAAATTGTCCCGCTCAATTATTAGTCCACATATCTTATCTTATCTTATCCGTAAAAGCATTACGTGTTAGAGAGAAAATGCTCCTACTCAATTATCAATTGGTCTTCTTATACCTAAAAGCACTACGTATGAGAGAAGAAATTGTTCCGCATAATTATTAGTATGCTTATCTTATACCTAAAAGCATCACGTATGAGAGAGAAAATTTTCCCATTCAAGTTTTAATCAGCTTATCTTCTTATATACCTAAAAGCACTACGTATGAGAGAGAAAATTCTCGCTGAATTATTAGCTTTCTTATATTATACCTAAAAGCACTATGTATGAGAGACAAAATTCTTCTGCTCAAGTTTTAGCCAGCTTATCATATATAGTGCTAAATGTCGAAGTATTTTTGGAACAGGGGTAGTATACAATAAATAGATATCAACATTTATTTCATTGTAAAGGGTTGACAATTTTGTATTCTTAGCATTAGACTTCTTTCTAGTTTGTTTTATAGCATTCAGCTTGATCTAGGGGGTCAGAGTGTCCGCTCGACAAAGTGTTGTAATTGTTCTAAAGGCTTCAATAGAACTGGATCCATTTTGCCTCGAATTATTTTCCTTGTTCTTACTATTCTCTTGCCTTAAACTCTTGCTAAATTGACCTATAACAAAGTAACTCTTGCGAAAGCCAAAGGACTATGTTGACTCTTTGACCTCTAGAAATAAATCTTAACATTGACGTCATTTGTGGGAAAAAGATAACATGATGTTCTTTGTAAAAGTTTTCTGATCCAAAGCATATTGCCCAAGTAACAAAGTGACGCAGAGAGAGTTTGGTAGGAGCGGTTACGGGCATAGCGGGACCTCCCGTATGAGTTATATTGAGCAATTCTAATAGAACAAATGACATTTAAAAATTATGACTATTTTACATTGACAATACTAACATATATTGGACATTTTCTTCATTCATAGTGTTATTTAGAACCCTTGGATAACATTGAAGTTGGCTTAATCGGCTTAATCTACTAAAATTGATAAAGTTTTGGTTGATGCGGCTGAATTAGGTGAATTATGAAGAAATTATATGTAAAAATAGCTAAAATATATATATGACCAATATACTTATTCTGGTCATATTTTAAGAATTGATTCTTTATTGAACAGAGAATAAACCTTTTTGGAGTAAGAAAATAGAATGATTGTTCACCAAACCATCAGATTTTTAATATATATATATATATATATATATATATATATATATGCAATATTAATGTCATATGAAAGATCGTAAACTATTATATATAAATATAAATCAAAGTGGATAAATTTTAAATGAACGGATGGAGTGATATACAATATATATAGTAATATACTCTTGTAATAGAAACTAAACGTGTATGACAGAAGTATGTTCTTTACAGAATCTATCTATTCTATTTATATATAAGAAAACAAATAGCTCATATAAATACCATGGTCACAAAATAATTATCATGACAAAATAAATAAAATGTAGTTAAACTAAAGAATGTTAATATATGATCATGATACTTATTTTGGTTATATATTAGGAAGTATTTCTTTCATTAATAAGGAATTAATTCGTTTTGAGCTTAGAAAATAGAAAGATTGATTAATAAACCTTAAGACTTTTTTATATGCAATATCAGTGTCATATGAAAGATCGTAAAAAATTAGGAATTTTGATATGGTTCTGTAAAAATTGGATCAATAATGAAAATGTTATAACATTTTAGAGGAAAATGAAGTTTTTAAAAATGTGTAAGTGATGTTTGTGTCGAGAGGTTCAAAATAGATTGAACCACAAATTTAAAAGAAAAGTCCTCAAATTTTTAGGTTAAATAAAAAAGTGGATCTAAAAAAATATAGGTAATATTGGTGTCATATGAAAGATCATAAAAAGTTATAAAATTTGATATACTTTTTATAAATATTGGATCAATAATGAAAAAGTTACAACACGTTAAAGAAAAAGATATTTTTTATATCATGGGACCGATCATGTAAATCTCTTTGGATGATATTGCCTTGATATTCCTTAAGAATTGAGTGAAGCATGGAGAGTTAACCAAGTGTACATTTAGAGGGCAAAATGGTATTTATATGAGCTATTTGTTTTCTTATATATAAATAGATTACTAATTATAATATTTCTTCTCTTTATGCCTTTAATCTGATACTCGGTATATAATTGGAAATACTTTTTTTAAATTTTTGGTAAATGTTGACTGGGTACCCGACCGTTGACCCATAGACTCTCCAGGTCCAGATTGACCCTTGACGCGTTCACTTCTCCGGGTGACCTCCGGTCCGGTTTTAAGAACATAAGTCTTTACACTTCAATATAGTCAATCTATTCATAATATTAATAAACATGTTTTTAATATTCATCACAACAATTGGTAAAACAAAATCCCTAGAATCAAAGGCATGCCGAGCTGCAAACAGACAGCACCTCAGTGAGGATATCACCGTCTCTGACGACCAACCCTCTGCCCCACCCCAAGTAATACCGCTTTACCGAATAATCCCATGTGGAGGCTGACCAGGGCAACCGTTCCCCCTATGACCACCCATTTCCAGTCAACGCTCCCGCCATTTCTCCTCTCTCCTGCAAATGAAACCTCACCACCTCTTCTTTGTTCCTCCCTACTGGACGCTACTTGATGCTCTCGCTGACTGTACTCCTCACTCGACATCTTCGTACTGATTTGCGCCAACATGGCACACCTCGATATCGGCACTTCGGATTTCCTCATGTTTTGATACGCTCTGAAGCCAGCATGAAGCTTCTTTACGGTTCCCCACATGCCATGGCGGACGCCGAGCCTCGCTACATCCTTTGGAATACCCATGTCTTCGTAATGAGTGAGTGTGACTTCACAGGCAGATAATTGTCCGTCTCCCTTTTGAGATTCCACTGCATCAACATTGCGACAAGTTTGGATAAGTTGTGGGAATTTTGATGATAAGAGGATGTGATAACCATTGTTATAGAAAGAGCTAGGCAACATGCCCTTAGTAGGCTTCATAAAATATACAGTACATGATAATCATTCTTGTAATTTATGTCGGGTACTTCGTTTTCTGATCATTTCTGTCGGGTATTTCAAAGAAATGCTAAAAATGAAGTAACCACCAATAAAATGCTGGATAGAAGTGAACGGTTAGGAAATAATAGAGAATAAAGGTTATAAAAATTAGAAGGGATATTGATGGACATTTAAAAATTATTTCAAACTCAATAAATTTATTTTAGATTTTTGCTCAAATTTATTTATTTATTTATTATTTATTTCCATTGATTATCAAATTTGAATATAAATAATAATAATAAGTGAAAGAGTTGTTATTCATACTTCATTTTCCTTTGTAGTTCACAAAATAAAACCAAATATTAAAAAGTAACATCATTTAGAAATTCTTTTCCTTCTTCATATCATTTTCCGAGATCCAAACATACCCTTAAGGAGGACGAGTTTAATATTCGCTTCAGCCTAGGGGTGTCTAGAGACTGCTTAGCCCAAATTTGACAACACTGCATAATTTACTAACCACTAGTTCATGAATAATGATAGAACCTACCAGGCCTGATAACCCAACTTGAAAAGTACACCTCCACACGCCTGGGTTTGTCTCTCTTTGGCACATCTGGATATGGAACACTCTGAAGTTGGAATCAACGGGGTTAGAACATACCATCATGCACACTAGTGTTGTGGAAATCCAAAAATAATTGTAAATGAGATCTACTAGATAGAATGCTGATTGTGATTCTATATTGTATACTGGTAAAAGGGTCCGTTTGGAACTCAGAAAATACTAGGGAACCAAAATCCTGAGGAAAATAAAGGAAAGATGAAAAGAAATAAAACTCGGAGGAAAATAAAAGTTGGTTCATACATGCTTAAAAAAAGTCGATTCACACTTGATACAGAAATTTAAGAGAGATTCCAGCTCAATTTATTTTTCTTATATTAAAACTAAGAAATCTAAATACATCCTTAATCAATGCACTAGAGAAACACGAGCCCCTTTCTAAAACAATACAAAGCCTTCAATTAATATGGAGTACAATATAAAGTCGAAAACTTGGCAAAAAACATATGTAGTACTTTATTTGAGCTTGGGCTATAAGTTAATAATAATCAGGTTCAAGAAGCTTATACCTTTGTCACACAATAATACGCTCTTCCAGATTCCCATATTCTCTTACCAATGATATACTCACGATCACTGCAGAAAAAAGGAAACTGCATACAAACAGTTTCAAGTCATCTGAGTGTTACACTTTACTTTGGACAATGGAGTGATTCTAAATTACAAAACTTGTCTCTAACAAACCTTTTTAATCCAGTGAACTATCATGAACCCATTTTCAGGACATTCGTGCAATATCTTGAAATATGCAAGCATAGGATCCCATTTAGGCCTAAACTCATCGTCCCAGAAGAAATCTCTGACAAGCTCCGGAGTAGCATCCTCAAAAACAGTTCTGCTCTGGAGAAGCAACCCAGGTGGGTCTATCTGTGGGTAAAAGGGTCCAGTTAAAAATAAAAAGTTGAATCAGACATGTGAAGGGGAATGCTCGCTTATAATAAATTTTAATAAAACTATAAATGTATCTTTGTGTGTGTGTCTATACAGGGTGCCAAGAATGCCCTGGCAGAAGCTTGCCTAGGAATTGCATCCTGGCAGTTAACTAAGTAAAGCACGCTCAAGATTAAGGCCCCCTTGGTAGCAATAATCGGCTTATTCTGCCTATCAGCAGAATAGGTAGTCTTTGAATTACTTATATGACTGAAATTGATGTTAAAAAACACATTTCCCTTCAGAAAAATCAGAGAATTCAAGCTAAATAATTATAAGTTTTACAAAATGAGCCCTAAAGCTTCAAAATTTTGCAAACCATGCATATTATTTACCAGGGTATACATTGTTTGTCAAATGTGCAAAAGTGCAATCTGCAATTCAAACAAACATCTTTTGAGTTAATCAAATTATAAAAAGTCCTAATCAGTAAAAGAGGTGGTGAGTGGTCTCTAGAAGAGGAGTACTAAATCAACCTTCAAAAATACTAGTAATTTAAACAGGTCATACATTCCACAGTGTAATTTAAAAATAATAGTGCAAGTCTTTTACATCCTTCAAATGACAACTATGTTAAGAAGGTAATGTTGGTCAGTGGTCACGCAATGTGGTAAAAGAAACACATCAAAGACTAAAGTTCAAAACAAACCTCAGACTCATGGCGCCAAGCTTGGTATGTCATGTTTGAAGTAGAGCGCTCCATCATGCATTGCCATCCCACCCCCTCTTCTTTTCCATCTAAGAGTAGCAGAAAATGTTTCAAATCATTTTCTGTTACATCCTCTTTGTCTTGACCAGCATTTCCAGTTAATGACCTGCATGACGAACAAACCTAAACTGACTAACTAATACTCATGACCCATTTGTTGCATTACTTTAATAAAATAAAAGGCATTCAGATGCTCCCTCCTATCCTTATTATAAAACACCTTTTAAAGGAGTCAATGGCCCTTTATTTAAGGCATTGTGTTTTCTGAATTTTCTCTAAGAAGCATTTATTACCCATTGTTCACCCCTAATAAACATCGGGTTTGATGTTTATTTATTTTCCAAAGCACACATTTACAGGTCATAATAAAAAGATTAAAACTGGGGAAATTGGAATATCATGATATGTACTATATAATTAAAGATTAAAAAATGACTACTTTCTTTGGTCTGTGCAGTTTGATCAAAGAATTTCTTACAATAAGGTCCAGAGGAAGTAGTTCTCTCTTCCAAAATATAACAAATAAAAATCTCAAATCAGTAGTATGTTAGTGCTTATAATGTAACCTTCTTAAAAATACATCATCTGTTAGATCAAATTCATTGTAATTTCGAACTGCATAACAACTGGGCTGCATCTTATATACCAAGGTAGTCTGCAATGAGATTCATATCAGATGCCCAGGGATTGAAGGGAGTTAAGACCAGGGTGAGAGTGTATTTGGACAATGTTGTAACTGTATTACGGTAAGAGATAAACTAACTCCATAAAGGATGTAAGTGGAGCATCACATTTAAGTGCAAAAGAATAGTATGGTATGAATTTCAAGTGGGAGCCAGTATATGGAGGCATTGGTTACCTAAACACAATAGTCAATGTTATTTCAGTCCATCTATATACATCATGCTTCCAGACATCAGCACAAATTAATGACATAGACAAAGATTATCAAATCTTTAACTAAATCAGACAAATCCTTTGATCATTTAATCATATTAGCACCACCTTAATCTATTACAACCCAAAATATTGTAGATCTATAGCTTTATTTACATTTCTGGAGAACATCTGATTGCTCCTATTGCTTTGTTTCCCTGTTTCTCCCAGCATTGTGGGTGAAAAGCTATCTTTCACTTTCTATTAGAGAAAATATTGCTTCAACATATCCGGAAAAATAGCACTGAGCTCTCTTTCGAGAGTGTATGCAATGAGTGGGGCATCATATAAGCATAAAGCATAGCTACATTTGCTCTTAAAAATAAACCCATTAATCCGTAAAAAATGACGAGAATAACAAAAACTCACCTATAGCATGGGTTCTCAAAGAAAACAATTCATAAACGCACATAAACTGAAAATGCTTAAAGTAAAAGCATTGTAGCATACTCGATAATATCATCAGTGCTCCTCCTCCCAACCAAATTCGAGGCCGTGGCCGTCTGAGTAGCAACATCTCCATCCACCGAAGATGAAACATCCTCCTTTACAGACGGTTTCCGCGTCCTGCCACGGAAATTGTTATTCCACAACCTCCTCCCGACGGAGAAGGCAGACAGAGCCGTGAACGCCAACCAGAGCCGGCGAGCACCGAATCCGGGAGGAACTGTCCACAAGATCCTGTTCAGCTTCGACCGAAGGCCGATAGCAACTATTCCCGTCCAGCGAGGCCGCCAGGACCAGCCAATCATGAGTCCGATCATCACCGCCACCCAAATCGGCACGACGCAGACCAAAATGTCGACGAATGCTTCCACCACCTCTGGCTTGTTGACCAGCTCAGCCAGACCCAACCACCACTCCACCTCCATTCCCTCTACCGATCTCCAACACGTACCGTACGCCGATGAACGCACGAATTCGAATTGGCATTAACGGGTGTACTCGGAAGGATTGAAGAGATGGGGATGGAGAAGCATTCGATTACAAAGAGACTTTGCGCTGAAACTCCTTTTTCTTTTGGCTCAATCAAAAAGAGGAAAGTGATAATGGAGGTTGAAGAAAAAGAGAGATTCTACGTCGGACTGCGTCTATTTTGACGGTGGATGACTATAATCTGTCACCGCTAGCGCGTGGATGTAAGTGACGCACGGAAGCTATCTGGTACGTAGCAAATTGTGTGTAAGCACCTGTTTGTAATTAAGAATACAACAAAAATGCTATTAAAATGCGGATTTTTTACAAGAATATTATTAAAATAAAACATATTTACATAAATATGACTATTCATTACTACAATGTGGTGTTGTGTAATTTAAGTTCAAAACTTAAACATGAATTACTATGATTTCATTACTACTCTAGTCATTAGTCATATTTTTGTAAATCATATTTATTTTGGTCATATTTATGTAATTATTTCTTAAAATGCTATTGTTACACATTTTCCATACACACTATAAATACTCCAAAAAAAAATTACCCACTTTCCCTCACCTCCCTCACACCTGCGGTAGTTAAAAAAAAATCAATCCCAAATTTTTGCACATCCCCCCTTGTCCTTTCCTTTGAATCGTCGGTGGCCATCGAAGAAAACCCCCACTCCCAAATTTTTCGCGCACCCCCTTTCTCTCCCCGTCGTTGGCCGTCTAAGAAAACCGTCGCCCTATGCCCCATCGCTGGAAGCTTCTTCTCCGTCAAAGGTTGTTGACGAAAACCGCTACACCCTTCCCTTTGAACAATGCTATCGAACGCAACCCTCCTCTCGGCCACCCTCCTCCCGGCCAACCGTCGTCGATTCTGTCTCACTCCAACAATCCAAAATGGTGCGAACCCCACTTTCTTCCATGACTGAAAGGTATGTATCCTCTATCTTTGGATTTTTAACAATTTAAGGCTATTTGATGATGTTTATTTGGAGGGCTCATAAGATATTTTTGTTTATGAAGTTTTGGAACCCATCTATTGCTTAGATTGAACAATATACATTTGTTTGGGGATATGTCATTACTTTCTATGTATTTTCTGTGTAAGGTTAATTTTATACCTGTGGAAGGACATATGTATTGTCTGTGTTAAGATACATTTGTCTAGTTATTTGTCTGTGTGAACTTATATGTGATTGGTTGTGGCTCCATTTATCTGTGAAGACTTATATGTCTGTCTGAATGAGTCTACATATGTCTGTGTGAGTAATATGATTGTCTGTGTGACTTTATTAAAACAAGTCCAAATGAAAAAATGTGTGGGACTTTGGAAAAGTAATGAATTTTTTCGCATATGTTTGTGTGACTGATTCTTTGTCTGTATCTAACTGAATGCTTGTCTGTGTGACTTAACATAAGTCTATGTGCTTATGGTTTATTTTATTACAATCATATGGCACTTGAACTTCAGATTCCTTTGAGCAAGCATTTCCCTGCGCAGTATTCTATGTGCTCGGATGTGAAACATGCTTCGAATTGAAGTACATTCATACCATGTTGTCTAAGAAACAAATGGGACTATTCCGAAAGACACCATGGGATCACCTTGTAGATATGCCTGACATTCAGTTTTGTGCCCAAATTGTGAAGCAACAGCCTGAAGATGAGATATGGTTCAATGTGGAGGAAGCGATCCAGTTAGACTACTTTGGGTCTGCATATTTAGTGTTGTATTGGTTTGGTTGTAAAACATTGATGTAGCCTTACTATATACATTGGTTGTAACCTTACATTGGATTGGATCCAGTTAGTGTTGCATATATTCCTGAATTAGTATGCCTTTTTGTTTTTGTGGCAAACACTTAATCTTTATGGTGTTAATATATAAGGAGGATGCCTTTGCCTGTGAAGAAGAAAAACCTTGTATGTGTTGTAATACGACTGTGATGTGTGACGTATTTGTCTGTGCTATGTATCTGCTAGGACTTAGTTTGAATAAAAGACTTTTTTAGAAAAAACATTTTAAAAAATTGTTAAAGTACACTATAATATCTGTCACAAACACATTGTGTGTATGTGAAGAATAAAAACTCTATCTGTGAGGTGTGGCATATTTGTCTGTGCTATGTACACAATAATATCTATCACAAACACATTATGTGTCTGTGAAGAACAAACACTCTGCCTGTGATGTGTGGCGTATTTGTCTGTGCTATGTATCTGCTAGGAGTTAGTTTGAATAAAAGACTTTTTGCAAAAAAAAAACATTTTAAAAAAATTGTTAAAGTACACTATAATATCTATCACAAACACAATGTGTGTCTGTTAAGAAGAAAAACTTTGTCTGTGAGGTGTGGCGTATTTGTCTGTGCTATGTACACTATAATATATGTCACAAACACATTGTGTGTCTGTGAAGAACAAACAATCTGTCTATGATGTGTGGCGTATTTGTATGTGCTATGTATCTGCTAGGACTTAGTTTGAATAAAAGACTTTTTGAAAAAAAAACATTTTAAAAAAATTGTTAAAGTACACTATAATATCTATCACAAACACATTGCGTGTCTGTTAAGAAGAAAAACTTTGTCTGTGGAGTGTGGCATATTTGTCTGTGCTATGTACACTATAATATCTGTCACAAACACATTGTGTGTCTGTGAAGAACAAACACTCTGTGTGTGATGTGTGGCGTATATGTCTATGCTATGTATCTGCTAGGACTTAGTTCGAATAAAAGACTTTTTGAGGACAAAAACATTTTAAAAATTGCCATGCACATTTACATCAAACTAAGATTTAAATCTAAACCACTACAAAAACAAAACAAAAAATCTAAACCACTACAATTCGTCATGTCATTACGTCCCCCCTGTCCATTGCCATGATGAGAGGTCGGTTGTGGGGTACTTGCATTGTTGGTCCTAGCACTTGACTTTTTCTTCCCCTTTTCCAATGGTCCTTTTTGACGATTTTTGTGTTAGGTTGCCATTTTTGTGTTTGGTGGCACTCTGAGTTCTTTCGGGAAACCTTAAACGCTTCCCATATGTCTTGTAAAAATCATACACCGCTTCTTTGCAATCAAATTCCATACCAACATCCGAAGCTTTTATTGAACCATCGTCACTCTCATTTCTCCATCTGACCAACACAAGCATTGGTATATTTAAGCACAAACAGAAGTATATATACACACATACACAAGTATATTTACACACATACATTTCAAACATAAGTACATTTACACAGAGGCAGTGGTAGATTTACGCAAAGACATAAGTACATATATACCCACAAACACAAGTATATTTACACACAGACATTTCAAATATAAATTTATTTACACACAGACATAACATTTTGAACACAGACAAGATTATTTCCACTTCACAAACACACAAACGATATTATACACTACATAAATACATAAAATTGTCTGTGAAGAACAAACATATATTTAAGTTGAAAGCCAATGAAATCAACAACACAAACTCATACCAAGCTTAGGGACAAACATAATACAAACATATACCAAAAGTAAGGTTAAGAAAAATCAAATATGTTTTAACTCAAACAAAATACAAAAGTTTGATGAATGTCAAAAAATTTCTCCCCCTAAACACATGCAACTCACGCACACTATTTACAAGTCACACACACATATTTGTACCGACCAGTGGAGATAAAAAATACACAGGCTCAAGGTTCAACATGCCTAACTTGGAGACTAGGAATTGGAATCTCTTGTCGTCAAGTACCTTAGTAAACAAGTCAACCAGTTGAAGCTCGGAGCTTACAAAGTACATATCAATATCTCCATTCTCCACATGCTTATGTGCTCGATTTCAAGCAAATCCGAAAGAATCGCATCTGACAGTTGTAAAAAGGATCTTGCGATATCTCAAATGAACAATGAACTTAGGCCTTTGGTATCCCAAACATTCAGGCTTTGACCTTGTCGGATACTCGGACGCTGATTTTGCTGGCTGCCGAATGGATAGAAAGAGTACTTCGGGAGGCGCCCAATTATTAGGTGAAAAGTTAGTCTGGAGGTCTTCCAAGAAGCAGAACTGCGTGTCAACATCTACAACTGAGGCAGAATACGCCGCGGCTGCTAGTTGTTGTTCACAAATATTATGGATGAAGACCCAACTCAAAGACTACGGTTACACATTCCACCATATCCCGATCTACAATCATGCTTTATTAAATTGAATGTTTCGAGATAGGCTTAATATGTACTTCATATTATTTTGGTTTGATCTTGTTTTTTATTTGAATGAATGTTAGGTGTACTTTATGTTTTGTGAGTTCCATTAAGTTTCTTTGAATGTGATATGCTATGAATGGTTTAAATGGAGTTAAATTTGAGAACAAAACAAAACTTAAAACACATTATAAATCCATACTTTTATGATTATAATTAAAGTATATTTGATTTATTTCCATGAATGTGATATGATATGGTTTATTTCAATTGAGTTCAATTTGAGAACTAAACAAACTTGAAAACACATGATAAGTCCATACTTTTATAATTTTAAAGTAAATCTGATTTATTTCCATTCATTGAAGCAAAAAAGAAGTACCTATGCGATAGAACATATACTACTTCGATATTGGGGAGCTAGGAGTCCAAATAAATTTGGAATTTCAAATTCAAGGCATATGTAGTTAAGAAGGATTCGCATCACCACTTTAATAAAATCTAAAACAAACAGTAAGGTTAAGAAAAATCAAATATGTTTTAACTCAAACAAAATACAAAAATTTAATGGAGGTCACAAAACATCCATTACAAAAATTTAATGGATGTCAAGAAACATACCGGGTTAAATTGCTCATATGTTAACTCCATTACTTGTAGCCGAACATCCGAATTTGGATTGATGATAGTTTAGTGATGGGGAAAAGTAGTCTAGCTTTCTCATTAACTCAAGGAGCTTATCTAAATGCCATGGTAAGAAAATCTAATCATATTACCCCTCTCGAAAACTTAGAACACAATTTTGGGTTGTAATATAGCATCATAGATGCTCTGATAGAGTGTTTGCAAACTATTCCTATTTCTTGATTAATAATTCATTGTATTTGAAAAATAAACAAAAACTCTATTAATATCTTGTTTGCCACAAACAAGGTCGTTTTAAGTACCAACTTGCCCAAGTACATGCTTTTGGGATGCCTGTTGGAGGCTGCAACATTACCCCAATGTTTCAGGTTACTTATCGTTTATGGGATGATTATGCAACTTAGAGCCCGTTTGGTAGCATGAAAATCGACTGATTTGGCTGATTCTGCTGAAATTTATGAAGTTCTGGCTGAAGTGGCTGCATTGGCTGATTCTGCTGATTTAAGAAAAAAACACTTTTAAAATATACTTCATTAATAAAATAAAGAAAAAATTATATGTAAAAATAGCTAAAATGGTCATCTACAATAACTTCAGCCAATACAGCCAGAAAAGTAACTCCAACCTTACTTTTTCTACTTATTACACAATTCAGCGCGCGAAAGCAAAAGTTACGTGTTTGGTGAAAAAGTTGGCTGATAAGCCTGATAAGCCGATAAACAGTGTTACCAAACGGCCTCTTAGCTTTCGAAGAAGAGTTTTTTTTTTTGAAAATTTAATTAAACTTTTAATCATACTAATGTAGCAAATGTGATTTCGTATGGCCGTGCATTTTATGTATGAATTCACTTTAAAAACTCTTATTAGGTTGACATCAAATGCAAAACTTTTAGAGTTTTTTTTTAAAAAACTCTAAAAAAGGCTTCTATTTTCTTTAAATTCAACGAAATGTAAATTAAAAAGGTGTTGCAAATTCGGTGAGCTAGCTACATTCACTCTTGCTATTTTGCTAAACTTTGCTGTGCAAAACACGTACGCCTGCTTATGTTTTGTTTTTATTCTTTCTTGCATCGATGCTTTTGCTAACTATTTTGTCCCTTATTGAGATATGACCTCACACAACACGTTTCTGCGCAGCGCTTATTTTTCATTGAGCTATGACTAGGGATGGCAACGGGGCGGATCGGGGACGGTTTTACATATAACCATAACCGCCCCGTTGGGTAATTTCCCCGCCCCGTAACCGCCCCATTACCCAACGGGTAATTGTTACCCAAACCATAACCGCCCCAACGCGTAATAGGTAAAATTTCGGGTAACCGCGGGTAACCGCTTTATTAATTGAGTCATAAAATTTTGATATAAAAATAATATTTTAAAAGGCGAAGAATGACATCGCCTAGACGACTCTACACTTCAGATGTCCATTTAAAGATTCGTATATCTACAAGACGAGAAAGGAAGCAACTTAAATTAATTTGAAACTAAAAATACATGATCTAAAAAATTATTAATCACAAAAAAATATGGTAATAATCAAACAAGACTATTAAAATCTAATATGAACTTTCATTCATACATTATAGTTAGTATATCTATTATCTATATATACACAATGAAAGAAAAAAACTCATCTTTTAATAGTTGTTAGACAAATAATAGATACAAATATAATAAAAATATATCTACAAATAAACGGGGCGGGTACGGGGCGGATAATGGGGCGGGTATGTATAAAACCGTAACCGCCCCATTACCCGTAAAAATAAAACGGGGATTCCCCGCCCCGTACCCATTACCCGGTCAATGCGGTTTTCCCCATTTTGACCGGGACGGTTCAGTGCGGGTATCCATCGGTTCGGTCACAATTGCCATCTCTAGCTATAACCTCACACAAAGCCCGTTACCATGCCAGTAGTATAATATAATACACACGAAAACCTAAGACCCCTATACCTCAAAACTCAATACTCACCCTTACGCAGCCCCACATATACATCAACAGTGTTAAAAATTAAGCGAATATCAATTTATCATCACTGCTTGTAAGTTTTAAATCAACTCGCCGGTTGCCGCACAGAGAATGAAATGAAGGATGAGCCGGAGAGAGAAACATCCCCTTCTGGTTCTCAGAAAACTGGTACGGAGTATTTTATGTATTTCTTTATTGAAACTCGAATAATCTTTAAGGAGATGGTTTATTGTAGAGTTGCTGCTTGATATGCTTATTGCCTCCATGTTTTATCTCAGTTTCTGATGATGAGGAAATAGATTACTCAGTAAAGCCAGAGTTTTACGACTCCGACCTCGACATCAAGGACGAATCATGGGCTCAGAAGAAAAGAGGCGGCCGTACCTCTGATGCCACACTCAGTTGCCCGGCTTGCTTCACCATACTTTGTCTTGATTGCCAAAGGTAATTTTTAATCCTAGTGTGCTTTCTTGTTCGCAATTTGAAACAATCACCTGGGCAATGTATTGATAGACTTCCCAAATCCCAATCCTATCATACTTTCGTTTGTTTCAAGTAACTAGATTACAATGTTGATGTAATATTACACTAATGTTTGAATTTTTTAAAGAAAATTAAGAGGATTAGGTTAACCTAAAAAAATTAGCTTGGCAATATTTTAGACTGTTCGGAGCACAATTGTGAAAGGCCCAAGGTGTATTGGTTTAATGAGGTTGGGGAGGGCAATGTTCCATAGACCATAGGTGAACAGATGCTCTTAACAAACTACAAGAATATGAAAAGATCCAATTCGAATAGGCAAATAAATTTGCGCATCAGAATAATTCTTACTCCCTCCGTCTCTAATAACTTTGCCAAGTTTGACCGACACGGAGATTAATAAAGTAAAAGCTGTGTGGTTGAGTTTTGTGCAGAGGAGAGAAAATTAACTGAAACAACAAATTCTTTACTTAAAAGGGAAAGTGGCAAAGTTAATGGGACATCCAAAAAAGGAAAGTTGGCAAAGTTATAAGAGACGGAGGGAGTATTATTTAAGGGGTAACATGAATCTTTTATCATGGGTTCGTCCTATACAGGTCCATTTTCTGAGCTCTTTGATTGCTTTTAGGAAGTTTTTTCGTTTGTGCATCCGTCTTTTGTGGTTGGAAAAGTTTGAGGTGGAGAGTTCTCATCTTCTATAGTTCTATTTGAGGAGATTGAAGGGTTCAGAACACCCCCCCATTCACCCTCTGCATTTACTCTTTAGGTAATAAGTTTAGAGAATGTAAGATAACATAAATAGATGGTTTACTTATTGTTTGTCTCCCAAATTGATGTAAGCACAACTGTGTGAGCTTGGTAGGACTCTTCTCCAAGTTAGAGAACGAATGAGCGGAGGGAAGGTAGAGCTGAGAATGGGAGAATACTTAGGATCAATGTTTAAGAGAGAGATAGAGGTTTGAACTGTTGTTTATATTTGTCTTATCTACTTGCTGAGTACTCGCAACTCGGGGCTGGCCGTTCCTTTTAGCACTCTGACTCGACTTGTTCTGTGTTTTCGAGTTACTCACTGAGTACTTGGTGAGTTACTTGTCAACCACTAAATGTTTTTTTGGGTTATAACTTAAGGCTAATAAGAATGTGGCTTAAACTACTGAGTAAACATAGTATTAATTAACTAATACTCCCTCCGTCCCTCTTATATTGTCCCGTTTTACCTTTTCGGGAAGTCCCACTAAAATTGTCCCATATCATATTTGGTAAAGTTTGTGTGGTTCTAAATCATTCTTACTTTATTCTTACTTTATCAATTAATATAAACCACACAACCCCACTTTTCTTAATAATCATGCCACTCTCTTCCGACCCAATATAAGAGGGACGGAGGTAGTACTAATTTTACTAATACTGAGGGGAAGTAATAATCATCATCATCATTACCCCAGTGTCGCAAACGCTCCCATCTACGGATGTACATAGTCTTACCCCTATACTAAAACACAGAAAGATTGTTTTCGAATGACTCATAGTGAAAATTGCATCCGAAATTGCATGGACTGACTGCTGCTTCATAACAAAGAAACACAGACAATTTAGTTAGCCATTTTTCTTTATTCTATCATATTCTCAAGCCAAAAAATAGTGAGTATTTGTATCCATTACAAATGATGGAAAATGAGGGGAAGTAATAATAACAATAAATAATATCCCTAACCTTAATAGGAGTGGCCTAGGCGCGTCCACAACAAATGGTTGTTACAGGTGGGGTGGAGGTTTTGGGGAGAAAGGGAGGGGGAGATGGGGGGATTTGGTGGTTTAAGGGAAACTGTATTTACTTTGCACTTCAGATTAGTATTTTTGAAACATTTCCTTGAGCAATGTTGTACCCTTGCAGCCTCGCTCTCTCTCTTGATATCTCTGATTAGATGTTGAGATTTGACTTTTAAAGTACTACGGAGTAAAGTCAAGTGGAGTAATGAGTCTTTCACAATCTCCGGTCTATGCTTGTGTTGTTATCTTAATATAATAATTATATACGTAGTATATGAATGTTAATAATAAATCTTGTATCGTGGGAGTTGCAGGCATGAGAAGATTGTGACCCAATACCGAGCAATGTTTGTGGTCAATTGTAAGATTGAGGATGAACTACAGCTTGGAAGTAAACGAAAGAGGGAAAGGAACTATGGATATGGGAAACCACAGTCAGGTTCTGCAGCTTCTGCTTCTTCCGATAAAGGTGAAACGTTTAAACACGTGTGTTGTGGAGTGTGTTTAACGAAGGTTGGAGTCATTGACGAAGATGAGGTCTATCATTTCTTGAATGTTCTTCCAAGCGAGTGTTGACCCTTTCTTCTTAAATTTATGCTAACAACTAATTAGCTATATATATGATGTAGTAGTTCTTGATTTTGTGTCAAGAATTCCTTGCAAGTGTAAGAATAGTTGTACTGTATTTTTGACCGGGTTTTAGTCTTAAAAAACGGAACTCGAACAGGTTCGCTCCAATTTTGGAGGATTCAGAAGCGGAACTGGTATGAATTTTGAACCGGTTTCCGGTCATGAAGTGGGTTCCTACGGCCTAAGGCCCTTTTGAATTACCATCCTCCAAGGCTCCCACACCTTGTGATACTTCTTCATTTGGTTCCTCAATTTCTATTGAGTTCTAACTAGTGTGTAGGCGTGTAGCTTAAAGAGGGGATATAAAACTGAAGTTTTACTCAGTGAGCTCCAGAGAAATATGTAGTTGCAAGACTTGTAAAAACAGCACTTACAAGAAATATGAGATTTTTTTACAAGTCAAATCCCTTAAAGAAAAAGATTTTATGGAATTACTAAACTACGGATTAATAAAATGAATAACTTCTGTAAACAAAATGAATAATTGTTCATTTTGTTCGAGTAAAAACAACACTTACAAGAAATATGAGATTTTTTTACAAGTCAAATCCCTTAAAGAAAAAGGTTTTATGGAATTACTAAACTACGGAGTAATAAATTGAATAACTTTTGTAAACATAATGAATAACTGTTCATTCTGTTCGAGTAAAAACACCACTTACAAGAAATATGAGTTTTTTACAAGTCAAATCCCTTAAAGAAAAAGATTTTATGGAATTACTAAACTACGCAGTAATAAACTGAATAACTGTTCATTCTGTTCGAGTAAAAAATAGCACTTACAAGAAATATGAGTTTTTTACAAGTCAAATCCCTTAAAGAAAAAGGTTTTATGAAATTACTAAATTACGGAGTAATAAACTGAATAACTTCTGTAAACAAAATGAATAATTGTTCATTCTGTTCGAGTAAAAACAACACTTACAAGAAATATGAGATTTTTTTACAAGTCAAATCCCTTAAAGAAAAAGATTTTATGGAATTACTAAACCACTGAGTAATAAACTGAATAACTTCTGTAAAAAAATGAATAACGTATAACTGTTCATTTTGTTCGAGCAAAAGGTTGTTAAATGCCACATCTTCACAACACCTCACTATATATGATCATCAAATTTGATTTAATAAGTTCTTGTAGCACTTATCTATTTACCTCCTTCTGGTCCTTATCTAGCTTATATTCTTATATGGTCATAAATTAAGGTTTACTTGGTGCGTTCTTTTGCTTTGTTGTTATGCATTGATAAACCATACAATTTTTTTTACAAGGACCATACAAATAATTAATGAACATTCCTTTTATGAATTGCGGTAGTTCGTGAGAGAAAGAAAGTATTTATTCATCAAGAAGAAACTCAAGAAGAAAAAACAAGCGGGATTTATTCATGCTTGTAAATTGTATAATCAAGATACTACAAAGCATTTGTCTTTATAATCAAGAATGGTCGCATAAAGTTTTTGTCTTTATAATAATTGAAACATAAATTTTTTGTCTTTATAATCAATAATCGATACACAGTTTCTTCAGACAAAAAGTTTATGTGACCATTCTTGATTATAAAGATAAATATTTTTTCTTTAGACCTAGGAAAGAAAACATGTCTGAAGATTCTTCTTATCTTTGTCCGAAGAAAGAAACTTTTTGTCATTTAAACAGGTAATTAAAACATGAAATGATGATAAAATATATGGAAAAGTACGGAAAAGGTACTTCTGGTTACGCCCGTTTTCAGATAGGGTCATGTGTTTCATTTTTTATCAAACTGATTCATGTGTTTGAATTCAGTTATCACCGGAGGGTCACACCGTTAAAAACGTCTGAAAAAGACGGTTGTTAGTAACTTCGATTTTCAAAAGTGCCCAAAAAATGAAAAGAAAAATACCGGAAGGTGCGCCTCAGCAAGACGACCGCTAGACCATCTTTCTATTTTGTTTCAAGGTGGTTTGGAGGTCATCTTAACGATGTTTTTGTGGACGAACTTTTGGCACCTGGCTAATGGTTCCCCTTTGACCCACTTGGTGAAGTAGTCGACTGCGACGATGATGTAACGGTTGTTGCCGGCGGCTCTTGGTAGGGGGCCGACCAGGTCAATCCCCCATCTTGAGAATTGTTCTAAGGATGTTTTTATTTGGACTCTTTTCAGTTCTAGACCAGATCAAACTTAAAAAGACTAGACCAGACTTTCATAGTTATAAAATACACGGAGACCAACCATTTACCATATCAAACTAGACCAAACCAGACTTAAACAGACTAGATTGGACAAAGACCAACAAATTTCGATCCAAATAAAAACATCCTAAAGTCGTAAGCCACAAGCCCCAATATCTCAAGCTTGAAAAAGGATGAGACGCCCCAAACCTGTGACCCGGCCAGACTAGGGGTGAAAATGAGCCAACCCGTTCGTGAGCTGTTCGTGGACCGCTAAGGAAAAACTGGACTCGAGTTCGGTTAATTTATGTTCGGCACGAGTTCAGCTCGGCTCAAGTATTTAACAAGCTCAATTCAAGTCTACTTGTTTTAGGCTCGTGACTCGCGAGCCGGTTCGCGAGCTTGTGTGTGTGTATAAACATATCATATGCTAGTATATAATAATTACATACTATCGTATATGATATATTTAAAATATGTATTCTAATTTAGGACTTCCATTTCCAATACTTATTACAAAGTATATTATTATAGTAATAAATATAAATATAATAATATTTATTATCATATTCACAATCTATTATAATTATAATCTTTAATATCTATTGATAGTAAAATAAGGAATACAAATGTCAGTGAAGGAGAAATGAAATGACAAAATGAGAGTACTTAAGTACAAATATATATAATTTATTTTTTTGTATGTATAAATATAGTATTATCAATTTGGAAAATATAAATATTATTTTAGCTCGAATTCAAGCTCAAGTTCGATCTTAAAACCAAAAAGAAGTTCGAGCATTCCGTTTGAGCTCAAACCTATAAATTTTAATTAGCAAAACACTACTTGAGCTCAAATCGAGTTTGAGTTGAGCTCGAGCGGAACTCGAATCGAGCTTAATATGACATAAGCTTGCGAGCCGGCTCACGAGCCACAAACCTAAAATGAATATGCTTGAAATGAGCTTGTTAACTATTCGAGTCGAGCCGAACTTGAGTCGAGCTTAATATGACCGAACTCGAGTCGAGCTTTTCCCGAACGATCCACGAGCAGCTCGCGAGCGGCTTGACTCATTTACACCCCTAGTTCGAATTCAAGCTTGAATTATTTAGCTCTACTTGCATCCCTGGACCGGACTCCTGAGATAAATTCAACTTTGATCCGAGGAGACGGTTCAATCCAACTTGAGTTGAACCGGACCTCTCCCGCAGCTCTTCCTAATTCCTAGCCCCGGCAATCTCAAACTTAAACTTTATGGGAGGGAGGAGGTCGTAAAATTAATCAGTTTTGCTACTAGCCGCTGCTCTCAGTTCTCAACTCGCCATTTGCTACAAGCCCATCTCTGGTTCTCAGAAAACTGGTACGGAGTATTTTTTTTTTATTTCGGAACTCGAATTGAGTTGGAGCTTAAACAATCGAATAGTCTTAGATAAAGGAGCTAAAGTGAAAAACTTGGATTCCGGATTCGTTTTCCGACAGGCCGACTGCATTGTGTTGTTCAGGCATTTCATCATACCTTGCTTCTATCCATGTCAATCACATCGCCTCTGTACAAATCAATCTTTTATCGTTCGGCCTCTTTCTTCTCTCCCTGTTGTTCATTTCATTGCTCAAGTTCGACTTTCCCTGAAAGGAAATTTGATTTTTTAGAACAGTTTTCTCCTATTCAGAATTTACCAAACTCCGAAAGTTACACTTTGATTACTTCAAACGAGAGGCGTAGAATCCTTGTAGGGCTATCAAAAATGATAAAGAAGGAAAATGATTATTATTTGAGTGCATTTTCCAAGAAGTTCTGCCCATACTGTCTTGTAGAAATCATGATATCATTCCATAATCGGGGAGTTGCTTTTGCACTCTTTAAATATGTATTTCGAGACCATTCGGAGAGTATGGTGCGATCGTGTTCCGTAGCTGCCCTTCTGTTGGAAGCTATGGATCTTAGGTTGATGTCACAAGACATGCTTTCATGGATAATTAGGAAGATTGGGGAATATAGAGGTGATGAAGTGGTAAACTTTACATGGCGCGAACGCAGTTTATATCAATTAGATTGCTTTTCAGTACTTAATTCATTAATGCGAGCATTTTTAAGTTCTGAAATGACTTCTGGAGCTTTGAAGGTTCTGGGTATGATGAGAAACGCTGGATTGCAGCCAAGCTTGTCAGCCATAAGTATTCTATTCAAATTATTGCTTAAGTTCGGCTATCATGATAATGTGTGGATTTTATTTCGTGACATTCTGAATAAGGGGCCTTGCCCTAATACTTATGTATATAACGTGATAATTCTTGGGTTTTGTAAAAGAGGGTTTCTTCAAATTGGAGAGAGTTTGTTCCATTTAATGATAAAGTTTGATTGCGAGCCAGACATTGTGACGTATAACATTTTGGTAAATGCATATTGTATGAAGGGTTTGACTTCAGATGCATTGAATTGGATGAATATGATGATCGAACTTGGTGGGTGTAACCCTAACAGCATAACTTTTGGTACAATCATTAACGCTTTGTGTAAGGAGGGGAAAATTCTCGAAGCTAAGAAGATCTTTGATGGAATGGAAGAAGTCGGCGTTTATGCAAGCATTGAAATATATAACACTTTGATGGATGGGTATGTTAAAGCAAGAGAAATCGATAAAGCTAATGCCCTTTATGAAGAAATGGTAAAGAAAGGAATCTCTCCAGACGGTATAACTTTCAATGTCTTGGCGGGAGGATATTACAAGTATAGGAGGGAAAGCTGTACAGACATATTGTTAAGAGATCTAATCACGAGAGAACTAATTCCAGAGTGTTCATTAACCGATGTGACAATTTCTGGACTGTGTTGGTCCGAAAGGTTGGATGAGGCTGTAGAAATGTTGCATATTATGCTTGAGCGGGGAATACCTCTTAGTGTAATTTCCTTTAATTCCATCATTGCTGCATATAGCAAAGTGGGGTTAGCAGAAAATGCATTTGGTATCTATAATATGATGGTGATGTTTGGCCATATTCCGTCTGCCTCCACATGCGCTTCTCTACTCATGTGCTTGTGTACAACGGGGAAGCTTCAAAAAGCAAAGGAACTTATAAATAAGATGATTGCAATGGACTTCCCTATCAGCATAATCTCATTCACTGTGCTTTTAGATGGTTATTTCAAGAGAGGGGATACTGATAATGCTACAATTTTGTGGGGAGAGATGGGAAGATTGGGTATGACTCCTGATGTTGTTGTGTTTTCTGCGTTTATTGATGGGCTATGTAAAAATGGGTCTATCGTAGAAGCTTATAAAACATTTCTGGAGATGAAAACAAAGAAACTAGTGCCAAATAATTTTGTGTACAACTCTTTAATTGCTGCTTTTTGTAAGAGAGGAAGATTGGATGCAGCTTTGATGTTGGAGAAGGAGATGAGAGTGAATGGTCTTATCCCTGACATATTTACAATTAACATCATCATTAAAGGGTTATGTAAGCAGGGAAGGATGCAATCAGCTATAGACACTTACATTGAGATGCAACATAGTGGAGTAAGACCTGACACTGTTACTTACAATACTTTGATTGACGGATTCATTAAATCATTTGACATGGCTAAAGCGGACAACATAGTGAGTAAAATGTTTGCGAGTGGATCGGAACCGGATATTACTACCTATAATATATGGCTTCATGGTTGTTTCACTACCAAGAAGATTAACCGGGCTGTTATGATGTTGAATGAGCTTATTTCTGTTGGGATTGTTCCAAATACGGTTACATACAACATTATGATGAACATTGCATGTAATGATATACTGGAACGTGCTATGATTTTGGGTGCAAAGTTGCTTAAGATGGCATTTATCCCAAATACTGTCACAGCTAATTTACTTCTGTCTCAACTTTGCAAACAAGGGCTACCAGAGAGGGCGTTAATGTGGGGCCAAAAGTTGAGCGAAATCGGCATCGAGTTTGACGAAATAACATATAAAATATTGGACAGAGCATCAACATCTTGTGATACTAATATAAGGCCTTATACTGATTATTCTACAGGGATGACGGAAAAGAGTCTGTTTGTAGACATTCTCATGTACATTACCTGTGACTATTTGGGTAGGAGAAGAGCTCAATATGATAGCACTGACTATTCTGTTGAAATTGTTGATGCACCTGGCGGGCCTTTAAAGCTGGTGAACTGGGTGAATTTGTAATAATGTAAAGCATTAAGAGAACCAAAAGATTGTACTTTTTTTGAGATCCAACCTGAAACATACATGGTTCAAAGGGAAAGAGGGGGTCATTCCCTTTGAGAAGGAAGGTCCAGTCTGAAGACCAGTGGGAGGTATTGTCTATCATATTTGCAATTATTCTTGTACAAATTCTTGTTCTTGGTTTGAACAGTTTAAAGTGTGCACAACTTCTAAGTTAGATTTGGTTTTTCTGATTTTGACTTTTGAGAAAGCTCTACATGAGCTTGTTTTCTTAGTCATATGTTCTACCAAATAGAAGTTTTACTTTTTGACTACATAAGATTTATCTGCTGATAATAAGGAAAAATGGTGCAAAAGCTTTTTTGTGTGTGGCCCAAATGAAATAAATGGCCACTCTCCCGGTCTCCCCTAAAATTTTAGTAATTCTTTCAAACTTTCATTAAACTTATTTAAAATACATACGTAGTATTTAATATGTACATTTTTTGATAATTCAACTAAAATTTGGATTTCAGTCACTCAGTTTTTATAAATTCAGACAGTTAGACTCTGCAAAACAGGCTCTAGTTATTGGTGTCCTCCCTCTTATATCTAGAAGGATTTTCTATTCTTTCCAAACCCAGAAATGTATGCCAGTTTTGCGAACTGATTCAATCATTTCATTTGTTCTTTGTCATTGACATAAAGAAGAATTGCGCATCCTTATTCCTTTGTGTTATGCCTTCATTTTTGTTTTCAGTTTCTCATGTTTAAAACAATATCAATTTAATTATTATTTTATCTAGTATTGGCGATGTCAGTTTTATAAATTCTATAGACTATCCTCCTGGTGTCAACTGTCAAGACTGTAATTATATTTATTATTTACGAACCATTCTTGGTGTACACCTTTTGTACACCCTGCTATTTATAAGGATGTTCACACACGAATTGCATTTTTGGTTATGAATTGCCTGTGTACGCCAACAAAAATGGGGGGGGGGGGGGGGTGTACAAAAGGTGTACACCTAGTTTTAGTAAACACTATTGAAAAGTTAATATTTCGGAAATTCACGTTAATAGAAATTTAATAACATTTTATACATAATAATTTGATTATATATACAACAACAACAACATCCAAGCCTTAGTCCTAAAAGATATTGGGGTCGGCTAACATGAATCGATACATGATATCACAACCAAAAGGAAAAGAAGGAATAAAGATAAAAAGATAAGCTATTATGAAAAGATAATATAAAAAAAGATGAATATATATAAAAATGATAAAATAAAAAGGCTGCAAATAATGCTTATATATATAATAATTTGATTATATATATTAGTAGAAAACCATGGTCAAAGTAAGGTGCGTGAATAGTGCAAAAATCACAATGTTGCAACTATTAAAGAACGGAGGAAGTATTATTTATCATCACTAAAGAAATTTTATTTAAAACTAGCATAATATTTTTTAAAGATTCAAAATTCATGATATTTTGAGAACTTGAGTCTAAGATTGATAGTATTGATCTGTCATATCATTATCACGAATTGATATATATCCTACCTTTCAGGTCTTCAAATGATAAATTCCTACTACCTCTGTCCCACTTAAGGTTCCCGTCCATTATTCTCCGATCAAGGTAAGTTGTTTTTAATCTTTAATTTTATATCTCCAACTTTTACCAAATTTCATATTTGTTTTTGTCTTTATGAAACATTCAATGTAGTTTCTGAATATGTAAATTTAATTTACTAAAATATTTTATTATTGATATGGATTAGCTAACTTTGGTGGTGATATCATGTATCGATTCATGTTAGCTGACCCCAATATCTTTTGGGACTAAGGCTTGGATGTTGTTGTTGTTGTATGGATCGGCTAACTTTATGGCCAGTCAAACATTGTAAATCACGTTGGAACCTTTAAGTAGGGCGGATGAAGTATTTATGTTTATTAATTTTAATTGTCATAGTATATTGGCAGAGTTAACTGTGATGAACCTGTACCAACATCTTCCATATGCTGGAAAGTCAAAGAGTTCAGTAACAAAAGTGAGAGTAAATATTCAAGGTGCCTGGTAGGTGGTCGGGTTTAGTGGATTTGTGGTGTAACGAGTGTTACTGTTTGAGGAAACTGACAAAATTACTTGACAAAGCTAAAGTTGAGGTAATCTTATTGTTATCTTTTTTAAGTTCACCTTCTGTCTTGACAGTTGACACCATTTTGTTGTGCTCAGAAGTAAATCATTTAAGTCCTATTTGACATTGTGCGTTTTGTTGTTTATAGTTACATTGGTTATATAAATGTTTCAGATTCTGAGAGACATTGGTTTTTTAATGTTCCTGATTCAGCTGATTCCACCCCCCATTGGTGAGAGTACATATTGCGAAGTGTATTTCAAAGATTTACGTCCATATTTAGATTGGTTTCTAGAGCAGCAGATCTTGGTTGGATTTTGCCTACATCTCTGGTTAGTTCTCTACTTTTCTCACGGGTCTGTTCGAACTTGGAATATTACATTGGAATAAATAAGTTTATATTTTAAACATGAGTACAGAGTGAGAATTCAAATTGATTTATGAGAATACTTGCATGTTTCCCGTTGTTCACTACATGTATGTTCATGTGGTAATACCACAACTGAACATTGTCGTCAAGTTATCATTGATGATAGGACCAACACATATTGCAAATAACTTTGATAGTATGTATAAGCATTGCATATCCTATTCTTACACAGGTCAAGGAGGGTGATAAACTGGTAATGCAGTTATGCAGCCACTCTTTCAATCAATGTGGTTGTATTACCAGGTGTTACATTGTTGGGAAAAGTAAAATTGGTGCATACGCCCTTCGTTTTACAATAATATTTTTTTTGTGTCCCTTCTTCTCTATTTATTGTTTTTTACTTCGATATCATATGTCGATTCGTGATCGTCGTCGCCAAACTCTTTTGGGAATGAAACTTTGATGTAGTTAGTTGTTGTTGTTGTATGCACCCCATAGCACCCTTAAGCGGGGTACAAATCAAATACTAAGGTAAACCATGGAGTGTGCAAAGTCTAATATAAATGACTTGCTCTAGGTTGGATTTTCGGGAAAAAGTGAAAAAGATAGGTGGGTGCAAAGTCAAGTACGGGTGTAAAACGTAGGACGTAAACACCATTTTTCCTCCAAAATGTCTTCAAAGGTTTTCAAATGAAATGTCCAATTTTCAATGATAACTGCATTGTTAGGTTCTTATGAATCTTATGTGTTGCGTATATATTTTTATATACATACATAATGCAGAAAACAGAAAAGGAGGAGACTGGAATTAAAGTGCACATGTAAGGGGATTCTGATAACAGGGAAAGCAGCTATGCTGCCACTGAATTGAAGTTGATGGTCAAACCAATGGAGGAGTCTGCTTGAATTCTGCGGGACATTTTGAAGCAGCTATTATGAATTTGGAGCAAATGACAAACAAGGTTAAGTGGCTTAAACCAATGACACGACAAGTTTCAGAAAATGCAAGTTAATTTTATGGGAAAATTACTATTAGCCGGGTAAGATTAGGTCAAAATCATTAATTCAACCTCACATTTTTAAACTTCAATTAATCACCCCTCGAATTTTGGTTATTCTCACAATTTACCCCTCCAATCAACATTTAGCTGTATATAATTGTTAAATATAATGATTTTTTTCTAAAATTTACCCCTACAATTTACCCCTCGAAGTATGTTTTTAAAAGTCAAGATAATCCATCATCATGATTGTAAACCATATTTGTTTCTCGTTATTTCATCTTTCCTACTAGAGTGCTAGTTGAAGAAGAGTCATTGAGTATAGTTGAGCCGGAATTACAAATAAAATTTAATATTCTTGATGAAGAAGTGTCTGGAATATTTAGAACACATATTTTAAACAACGTTCTTCTTCGATGCATCTCATGAATATTAATCGTGATTCTTCTATCTCAACTACTATGATCAATATTCATTCCATGAGTAGTTAAGAAGAAAAAATAAGGTTGAGTGACTATGATTTATAATTATGATGATAAATTATTTTTACTTCTAAAAATGGATATGGTAGAAAACCTTCATTAACTTTGAGAGTTATTTGAATTTTAATTCGATAAATATTAATGTGAAGGGAAAGTAGTTAGAAGAATCAAAATTCAAAGGTAACTAATTGTTTTTTGAATTTGACACCACAAAAATTTGTGGTCAATATAGAAAATGTAAAAGTTTTGCATAAATTAAAAAAAAGTATTAACTTTGACTTCCAAGTTTTCGCATACATAATGCGTAGTACTTAGGCAAGGACCTGTTTCGGCCCGGTCTCCGGGCCGGTTCAAACCGGGCTTTTTTCTTGGGGATTAAGGCCCCGAACCGGCCCGGGATTCTACCAGGACCAGGCAAGGACCGGGCCGGATCAGGTAATAGGGATGGATCAGGCCTAGGTCGCCCAGACCGTAAAACGGCCCGACCCGCTACTGTGCGGGCCTGGCCCAGTCCGGTCTAGGGTAACCGGTTCCGGGCCTATGCCCGGTTGGGGGATTGGGGTGGGACGGGTACGGGCCCTTAATTTAATGAACCGGCCTAGGTCTTTTTTTTTTGTTTTTTCAATTTTTTTTTGTTTTCACTGGGTAGGGCTGGGTGTTTAGGGGGGTTTGGGGGGTGGGGGTGAAAGGGGTGGGGTCGGGGGTTAATTAGAAAAGCAAAAAAAAAAAACATTTAATCGGATCGGCCAGGCCCGGAACCGCCGGCTACCCGAGCTGGTTCCGGGCCTCACTTCGCCCACAAAAAGCCCGGTCGGGCTCGGTACCCGGCCCAGCTTGGAACCGTTTCATCCATATCGGGTACCGTTTTTTTGCTTTTCTAATTAATTCCTATGTACCCCCCACCCCAAACCCTTCCAAAACACCCAGCCCAACCCACTTACCACCCAAACACTTTGGAAAGCAAAAAAAATTGGCCTAGACCAAGCCCGACCCGATCGGCTTGACCCGACCGGCCTGGTACCAAAGAACCTTGCAACCTGTGCTTGCCCCCCAAAAACCCTAGGTTGGATCATAGGCCCGGGCCCGGTACCGGGCAACTGGGCCGGGCCGGTCCCGCACAGTGGCGGGCCGGGCCGGTCCTGCTCAGTGGCGGGCCGAGCCCGTTCCCGAGCCGCGTAGACCGGAACCGGTCCATGCCTAGTAGTACTTCATAACTATTTTATAAATGAATAGAACTATATATAATACTCCGTAGATATAAACTTTTTATTGTGAACACAAAAAAAAAATCAAAATCTAAGGAGTAAATTTGAATTTCTATATGAAATGGTTATCTAATTTTCTTTATTTTTATGAATCAGATGATTGAGGCGATACTGTTAGAGGTTCATTCCCAATTTATGAGTTGCTAAAGAACCTATGTATGTTATACATATATGCTGAAATGAACTTTCTCTAAAATAAAATAATATTTTCTTAATAAAAAAATGAGAAACAGTGCTAAACATCGCCAAATTGTCAGTGTTCAAACAGTAAAATTGGGGGATGGAGGGAGTATATAGTAATATAGGTAAAACGGGCATTCATATGTAGGGATGGCAACGGAGCGGATCGGGTACGGGTACACATAAAACCGAAACCACCCCGTTAGATAAATGTTTGCCCCAAAACCGCCCCATTACCCGTTCGGGTAATTTTTATTTGAACCGTAACCGCTCCAACGGGGAATCGGTTTATCCACGGGTACCCGTTTGCCTAAATGATACCAAATAATCAATTTATAACCCTACTTGTTAATGTAAACATCCTTCGTAGTAAATTATATATTAAAAGCACCATAAAATATACAAAAGTAAATGTTCAAGCAATCAAGCAGTTTTAGTCCTAAATTCATTAATATGACAAGCACTCAATATCTCTCGTAACATAATAAAAAAAGTACTAAAAAGAAGAAAAATAGGAACTGGGTCGAATCCTTGATAATGAGAAAGATAGAAACCACCGGCGGTAGAACCGAAGTGCAGGCCTTGCATCGTTCCATCTAGAAAGATCGAAGAGAGTTGTTCTCACTATTAAGAAGCGGAGCCCTGAATCATAAATCCGTAATACACTGAGTTATGGATGTTAGGGTTTTTGAAGTGGGCCTCTGCTATAGTAGTCTTTATATAGTTATATGAGATATACGATTTAGTGTACACAATTTAGCATATATACTTATTATTCTTATATATATAAAGTTATATTTTATTATAATGTTATGGGTCGGGTAACGGTGCGGATACCCGCACTATTAGTGAACGGGGCGGTTTCGGGGCGGATAACGGGGCGGATTAGTATAGAACCATAACCGCACCATTATCCATTTAAAAAATCGGGTATTCCCCGTCCCGTACCCGTTCCCCAGTCAAACCGGTTTTCCCCAGTTTGACTAAATCGGTTCGGTGCGGGTATCCAACAGATCGGTCGAAATTGCCATCTCTATTCATATGTAGCTACCAAAGGATGTGGAGTCTAAAGACTGTCACTTCTTGCCATATAGGCATTTAGTTTTGGGTCCTTGCATTTAATGGATCGCAATTTCGCAAACAAGTGCAAAAACTCATCTATGACGAGTGATGACACCGTTCACTACAAAAAATAGCCCGTTTGTCACGGATTCCGTCCGTGACAAAGTTGTCACGATCTTTGTCACGGTATTGTCACGGAAATTTTTGTCACAGATATTTCCGTGACAAAATCCGTGACAACGTTGTCACGGATTTTGTCCGTGACAAAAATCCGTGACAAACACCCTCCGGTGACCGGTAATTTACTTCGACCAAAATTTATTACGTCCGGGCACCTGTCACGGACGGATCCGTGACAAATCCGTGACAAAATTCAAAAAACAATTGTCACGGATGGATCCGTGACAAGTTTCGTGACAAACCCCAATAATTGATACTCCAGCGGTCAGCTAATTAATGTTGTACAAAAAGGTTTTTGTCATGGATTGTTCCGTGACAAATCCGTGACAAAAAAATCTACATATACCGCAACACGGTTTCATTCGAGTTATATCGGTTTGAATTTCAGCACAGTATAATACAATATCTGTTGAATGATTGAAGGATGTAATCTATCAGTTTATTATTTTCCCTGTTTATGTAGATAAGGTATGTCATTTGAATTATGTATTTTTTTAATTAAGTATTAATTTTTTCATTTTATATAGTTAAATTTTGAAATTAGTGAGGTTGTTAATTTATTAAGAAAATATTGCTAATTGCATTGTCTAGAACTATAACAAAAGAAAACGGAACAAGACACCGGATTCTTTTACGAGTATATAAATATATTGCATTTCTTTTATTTTAGAGTATTGAAATTAGAATTTTATTGGTTAAAAATGCTTTAAATAACTTTTTTTTTTTGGAAAAACAATCAAAACCGAGTTTTTTTGAGTTTGTCGGGGTTTTCGGGTCTGGGTCTAGACTGGATTTGTCCGGATCGGCTGGATTTTTCATATTTTTTATCACTTCCGGGTTTTTAACTAACCGATTCGGGTTTTGGTCCAGATTGTCGTGTTCGAGTCGACCCGGCTAGTCGAGGTCGGTTTTTTAAGCACAACAACATAGCAATCATACAAACACATTAACAATAAAGTGCGGTAAGATTGTGAGGGTCACTAAATAAAAAAATCGCAGAAAAATCATTAAAAACATATTCAGGATAGTAAATTGCATCAAAAATCACATTAACAAATAAAAAAATAAAAAAATCGTGTGATTAATTTGAATTGCATCAAAAATCACAAGTACATAATAAATTGATATTAGGATAGTACATACTACATAGTCGAGTCATTATAAATCGCAGAAAAATCATTAAAAACATATTCAGGACCTATTAGTTGAAAAAATAATCGGAAAACCGTTGATACCGATTACCGACAATATCAAATGAAAGTTCTATAGTGGATTTGAGGTTTGGGTTTTGCAATACGAAAAAGTTCACTTTTTCTTTGTAATTAACACTGATAAAAATTTAAAAGTACATACTACATAGTCGAGTCTTTTTTGTTGATACAGTTATTAATAAAGTGATTAGAAAATAAAAGTTGTTCAAATTTGTATACAATAAAATGAAATGATGTGGATAACATTTTTTTTCAAAAAAGGACATATAACACCTATTTTGAGACAATCCAAAAAATACTATTGCACGTTCTTTAACTATTGCAATAATTTGACTTTCACGTTTGCCAACACACAATTTTGACTGTAATTATATTTAATTATGTATTAGTAAACATTATGAAAGGTTGATATTTTGGAAATTCACATTGATAGGATTTCAATAACATTTTATACGTAATCATTTAATTATGTATATTAGTAGAAAATTATGGTCAAAGTAAAGTCTATGAATAATACAAAAATCACAATATTACAAAAATTAAAGAACGGATGAAGACAAGGATAACATTTAATTTGAATATAGAAAAAGTTGATGACGCTCGTACATAAATTTAGAATTCAAATGTGAACTGAGTTGACTAGAGAATACTACTACCCCATAACACAAACATCTTCTCATTTTGACTTTTCACGGTCTTCTAAGTTGAACTTTGACTCTAAATATCTACATATTTATATTTATAAAGTTCATAATAAATTAACATTCAAATAATATGTTTTACAATGAGGTATATGAAATAAACTTTTAATCATAACATAATGTGAGATTTGAATAATTAATGGTAAAAGTTTATAAAGTTTGACCCAAAAGAGTCAAACTGGGAAGATTCTAGGGTTACGGAGGTAGTACGATATTGATAGAGTGTGTATATCGTGCAACGGGTGCATGGTGAGCACCATGCACCCATTGGATATTATTTTCTTTTTTAAAAAATGGTAATAACTCTTTTATTTTTGATCCGTTTTTTATAAAGTTTATATCAACATTTTTTATTTTTCATGATATTTCAAATGAGACCAATATTGCTTATGTAATTTTAACATATTAACATTTGCGTGTAAAATATGCAACTTTACGTGTTAAAATATGTAACTCACGTTCAGTCAGGCCAAATGCAACTCGTGTGTATAAATATGTATCTCTCCGTGTAACAATATGTAACTTTACGTAAAAAAATATGTAACTCGCGTTCAGACAGGTCAAATGCAACTTGTGTGTATAAATATGTAACTCACGTGTATAAATATGTAACTTTACGTGTAAAAATATGTAACTTTACGTGTAAATATATGTAAGTCGCATTCAGGCATGTCAAATGCAACTCGTGTGTATATATATGTAACATGCTTATAAAAAGATGTAACTCGCTTATAAAAAGATGTAACTTGCTTATAAAAAGATGTAACTCGCTCATAAAAAGATGTAACTCAATGTATTATCAAATGTAACTGAGTCCACTGATCCACTCCCAAACAGATTCGATCTTCTATTTCACAAACCTATCATCTCCCAAACAGATTCGATTTTCCTTATAATCCAATACTCATTAATATAATAGTTCGATAATTTCTTAAAATTACATAAGCAATATTGGTCTCATTTGAAACATCATGAAAAATAAAAAATGTTGATATAAATTTTATAAAAAACGGATCAAAAATAAAAAAGTTATTATCATTTTTAACAACAAAAGCAAAAAAAAAAACCAAGCATGCTGCGTCGTTTTGCAACCGGACACACCATCCTCATGGTGCGCCGGTTGGACGGTATAATTTGCCATATTGATACTACCACTTGTAGAGAGATATTACAAGGATAGTGTCGAGAACTTGTGGTTTTCTATATGATTGTTGTGTTATATACTACTCCGTAGCATGTTATCTGTTTATTCTTCAAGCTATTTGTACTATAAAAACAGCATTCAAAGCTCGTTTATGAATGCATATGTATAATATTAATTTATGAGTGGAGTTGGTCATATTAACTCGATCATTGTTATTTTTGGTAATGGTTAATATATTCTGTACAGTGTTACCACTAAATCATTAATCATTCAATTTTTAAAGCCTTCTTAACAACCTTATTTTGAAATGACAAAGTCTCAAGTTGAAACAAGCTCAGTTTGCTTCATAAGCTATTAGTCCTCGTCAATATTACAATATACGAGTATATAAGTGGCGCAATCCCAAACTTATTATCTAGTTCGCCAGCCTTAATGTCAATGGTCATCACTCAGGATTGTGATGGAATTTGGATTGTTTTTGCAGAGTCTTTCAAAGTAAGAGCGTGGCAACCCATACTTCCTTGCCATAGGGGAGCGTATCCAGCCTGAACAATTTCCTGATGAACCGAAGACAACAACGGTTGTCCCCTCGGTGGCAAAGTTAGCCAGAGGAACTAGCGCCTCCGGTTCAGTGACAGATGAGGCATCCACTAGAATGACATGGCTGAAATGCCCAGCCTGCAATCCCTCATTGTGTAGCCGGTAAGCACTCATAAAAGTGGTCAGGATTACCTTATACCTGCTGAGTTTATCCTGCGAAGGGCAGATAAAACACTCAGTTTCGTCTTCATATGGACATGAAGGAAGTATGTCTTCAGGTACGTCTTCGAGTTCTCGGAATGCAGCATTGGCCCTAAAAATATCACTCTCAGGAATGCGCATCCACTTGAGTTCTCTCAGGAGTTCGTCACATGTTGTGTTGGCGGGTGCGCACAAAAGGATCCGATTTATAGGAGACGCTCGAAGCAGTTCCACTACAGCTTCAACAATCAGATTTCCAGTTTTCGATAAACGGCTGCTTTTCCCATCCCTATACAAACAGTTTCTTTTCCAATCCCTAGTAATAGATAAATCCCCTTCTACAAGGTAGGGCGGGAAGGCCTGGAGTCTCAAAATCTTATCAATGAGAGAGGAATGTTTGGGAACAAGTTCGCAGCTTTGTGGATGGTATTTGGGGAAGATGAAATTCCTTAATAAGGGGACTGATGCAGATTCAATTGCCTGGTGAGCGCGTTTCAAACACACTCTGTTGAATGAGAACTTGACATCATATTTTCTGGATGGATGATGCGTAGATAAAAAGTCACCTCCGAATTCTGACAATAAGAGATTGCTTTTCACCACCCGATACACCAGGCCCTATAATTCATCAGACATAAGTGGTTTTAGAGTATGTAGTAAATCTGTAAATGTGTCTACTTTGCAATAATTTAGAAGTTGAGAGCTTACCTCAAAGATCGGGGAGTTCTTCCCTGAAGGTTTCAGTGACACAAAATCCCGAGATAACAAGAAAGGCCTTCTTTCTGGAATTTTGTCCATCTCAAACGCTACAAATTTCTTTTTGTCTTTGAGATCATCCTCATAAAGACTACTGTGACTACTCTTTCTTTTGTAAATTGCTGCATCGTGCAACTCCAAGGTCACATCAAACATTTGAAAACCATCCCATTTCTAGAGAGTAAAGACAGATGATGATTAGGAGCTACAAGTAGTTTCTTTGTGATGATATATAAGGCCGGACACATTTTAATTTGAATGAAAGTATAGTTTGAATGAAATTTTCCCAACGAACACGGTTATTATTTCAGAAAAGCTAAATCAAGTTAACACTAGTTTATGACACTGAAACAAAAATAAAAAAAAATATGACACTATGAAAACAACAATTGTAGACTCCAACTCTCCAAGTATGTATAATATGCTTTGAATCTTAATTAAAATAAATACAATAAAAAATGAAAGAGTTTAATTACCTCGAGATAGTAGTCCTCAGCATACAATAAAGCACGAAAGTAGTCCTTGTAAGTTGAGATGGACAAGGGTTCCTTGAGAGCATGTGGCACAATTTCCATTTCGATTTGTCTTTTAATATCTTCAGGAGCAGCATATGTTAATGATGCATCCTTCTCAACATTAATGTAATTGTTTTTTTCAGAAGACGATGAATCCACACGCAAAGCCGGTCTGATGGACATAGATGGCTTGTTTTGAACATGAGATGATGGGAAGGATGCTGCTGGTTTAGGAGAGGGCGACAGAGATGGGGGAGGCTTGGCTGTATTTGAAACGCGCAACTTACTTTCCTGGATTGGTTGAGAAGAAGATATCTGATGGGAACTTTTGGGAGTGGAGCTTTGATTTTGAGAAGGAGGTTCAATTATCCGTTTACTTGACAATGGATAGACATGCAAGGAATCGAAAGAGTCACTAGTCTTTGTAGAGTCTTTATCATCGAACTTGAATCGAATGGCAGTTGGAGTTGATTTAGTAGCTATAACTGACGGGGAAGAAAGTGAATCTCTTGGCCTCGGAGAAACTTCACTTTGCTTGGGTTCTCGGGACGCCTTACTAAGACTCCCTGAAGTAGTTGGGGGAAATGGTTTACTGTTACTAGTTGTAACCGGTCGTGGAGGTGGAAATTTGACAGCAGAAGACGACGGTGGAGAAGAAACAGAGTGTTTGGTGGCGGAGGACTGAGTGACGGTTGGTTTGGAGGCTACTGATTTTGTCGTGGAAGGACGACTTGCAGAACCAGAGTTCGTCCTCCTATTCTCATCGGGCAATAAACTATACAGATAATCAGCAGAAACATGAACATTACGATCAGGGTACCGCTGTCTCGAATCGATTTGTGGTCGACAATCACCGGAATCGTTCCCCCCACGGCCAAAAACATATCGAAAAATCGCAACAATCCAGCCAAATAGACCCATCCGTTCTCGTTCTGGCTTCGATAGCGCGTTAGCTAGGGTTCAGGCACTACTCTGATCTGATCATACACATATACACACACATAAATATATGTACGCGTATGCATATCAGTTCCATATTATCCAGAAAGTATCTACACCGCATATATGCATACAGACAAATATAAATCACATAATCATATAATAGCAGATAAACCTTGAGATCCAGAGCTAACTAGCAGTTAATCAAGCCGTTAATCATCACTTTTTCTGCAAACATTTCTTCAACAAAATAATTGGGTTGAAGAAGAGAGGTGAAGGAAACGAGGATTGATCGTGTAATGGTAACTTAGTGAGTGAGGAATGAGTCAAAAGTGACTTTATGAACCTCCAATGAGAATACAAACTTTTTGCCTGCACCCTACGGAGTGGTTGTCTATTTTTCTGCACAGAAGAAAGTCTCATTAAGTCAACAGTTACCACACGCGCGCTCTAATTTCCCTCGTTTTTCTTTCTGCAGAATTTGAAAATTGAAACCAAGTGCCAACTCATTAGTTTCATCTCATTTTTCGGTTTTTATGGGGTAGATCGAAGAATCTGAATTGAACATGATTAATAGAGTGTGCTAAATATAAAAAAAACATCACAGAATTGAAAAAAGGAGTAATATAAGGAGAATGTATTTTTTCAATAAGAACATTATAGTTTTATTTTTAATAAAAAATATAAAACATAATGAGTAATAAAAATACTTATAAATTAATAATAAAAACGGGAAAAATAAAAAAAATGTTACAAAATTTTAAAAAGTCTAAAAAATAAAATAAAATACATAAAAACTGTGTAGGCCACCGCATCCTCCACCTCCCCCCACCACTAGCTCTGATCGTCAAAAAATGTCATCATGTGTAAAAATGTCACATCTTCTGAAAATGTCATGAACATGACATTTTTATTTTTTGAAAATGTCCAGCTTTCTTTTCTAAATTGCATCACGATGACATTTTTTTGCGCGGCACGATGACATTTTTTAATTTGACATTCTTTTCCAGCGATCGGAGGTGGTGGTGTATGCCTGCATATTTTTTTAGTTATTTTTTACGTTTATTATGTTTTGTATTTCAATTTAATACTCCCTATGTTTTATTAGTATATTTAACAAATCTTATTACGAATAACAAAATAAAGGTAGAATAAAAAGAGTTAATCCTATTTTGAGAACTTAAACTTTAAGCTCCTATTATTGTAACTTTGCTTTTATTTAATCATATTTAGGGAAAACTCCCTATAATCAAATACTTTGTATCTTCTACGAAGTATTTTATACTAACCAGCTGGTAAGAATGCAGCATGTGATAAATACTTTAACAAAACACACATACAATAAGTCTTTAATAAAATGTGTTTAGGGTCTCCAATAAAATAAAAACAAAAAAATCGCATGTTTAATTTGAATCACATACAAAACCGCAAGTCCATAATAAATTGATGGAACGTAAAAGGATAGTACACACTCGTTCAGGGGCGGATCCAGGATCGAGAGATAGGGTGGGTTACGCAGAAGTAATTTTTTTACTATACATACCAAATTTAGTCCAGGGTTGTTATCGAACAAAGATTTTTTTGAATTATATACTCGAGTTCGAGCTTGATTTCGAATCTAATTTAATGAATTGAGTTTAACAAGTTTCGAACTCGAATACGGAGTAGGTTTTGAGTTTGAATAATTATTCAAGCCGAGATCGAACATAGTGATATTTCGATCCGAACACGAGCCTATCATTCACATATAAATTATACTATTGTACATATCATTAGTTGGTATTTATGGAAAACTTATGCGGTGTATAAATGGGGTGAAAACCCTATTCCAGATTCAGAAAGGCTCATTTCTCAGATTAAGATTTTCACACAACAATTGGCAGTCAAACTTGCTATTATCAAAAGCAGGAAGGTGGACGGTTTTTTAATCCAAGAAGGTTTAATCTCAGCCAGATTCAAATTCAGAAGAACAGGTCCGCAAATAATCAAATGGAAAAGATCTAGTAGCAGTTACAAATTGAATGTTGATGCATCGTACATACCTGATAGAGCTACGGGTGGAGCCATCCTGAGAAACAAAGATGGCTATTTCGTCTGGGCGGTGAGCTTCCGTCTGAGATCGATGTCGTGTGTGGAAGCGGAGCTTGAAGCTTTGATGATTGCTACGGAAATGGCGATGGAGGAGGGCATTGTTGACGTCGATGTAGAAACGGATGCACCTCTTTCGCTTTCGGTGCTCTATGACGATTCAGGAAAGCACACAGGGATTCGAAGGTTCAGGAGGAGAGCAACAGACAGAGGTTATCGATTTGGGCATGTTCTGAGACAAGGCAATGGGCCGGCCCATTTACTCGCATGACAGTTGCTGGATTCGGTCCAAATTGTTCGGTTTGACAGATTGGGCCAACTACCGATTAATGTAAAAAATAGCTATTATGCAGATCTTTTTGGCATCCCGAATTTGCGTGATTAATTTTTCCTTATATTCCTTTTCCTTTTATATTGGGAGGTTTAGGTTTGGTCCCCCTCTCTTGTAATCTTTGATTTTTAATAATATCCTGGCAAGCGTTCCTCCGGCGTTTGCCCCACCGATTTTGGTGGTTTGCCTTCCGGAGTAAAAAAAAACATATCATAAAATTTAAACGTTTTAGTGCAATTTTTATAAATTTATTAATGATTAATAAAAATTTGAATACTTATTGAATAATTTGAACATGAATCTATTAACGAGAATAGTCTAAACTTCTACATTCGAGCATGTCTATCAAGCATTGAAATCCAAATTTGAGATAGTTTGGATTTCAGGAACTACAGCATGTGGAAGATCCTCATTGACTAGATCTTGCACTGTTGTAGGTATAGGTTCAGAACTCCCTTCACCAGTTTGACGATTCACTTTCGAAAAGAATGATGAAATCAACTTCTTTCCCTTCTTGGCAACATGTTCATTATCCATTCTAAAAAACATTTTCAATATTGGTATATATTAAAATACTTATATATAAAAAATAAAACTATTTAATTATGTACTCAAAAATTCAATTAATAATCAAAACGATTGTATGATTCCCTAGCCCTAAAACTCTAAAATGCTAAAAATAATAATAATTAATACATTAATAGTTTAATGCACAATCGGTTAATCACAGTTTACAAATTCACGGCGGAAGTTCATAACTTCACTGATTCACAAATTATTTGTGGGGTGAGCTGACAAATAATTTAGGCTGGGCTGAGATTTGAAAATGTACCAATACTATTAAAAAAAAATTGGGCTGGGCTGAAGCCCACCCCTGGCCTAGCATACATCCGCCCTTGCACTCGTTCAAACTTCTTGATAATAGTATTGTTATTAAAATTTAAAATTAAAGATTTTAAAATTATATAATACGCAGTTGTTCTATTAAATCTGAAATTCAATTTGAAAATAGAAACAATGATAGACTAGTTTAGAATTGGAATGTAAACTGAGTTTTGATAAGTGAAAAGTAATACTATCATTTAGAAACATACTTCCTTCGTTCCATAAAAATTGCAACATTAGAATTTCTGCACTATTCACATACCTTACTTTGACTACGATTTTCTAATAATATATATAATAAAAATAATATGTATAAAATATTAATAAATTTGTATTAATGTAAATTTCCAATATATTAACTTTTTTCAATGTTTACTAGTATGTAAATAAATATAATTACAATCAAAGTTGCGCATTGGATAACGTGAAAGTCAAATCGTTGCAACTTTTATGGAACGGAGGATAGTATATACTTCAGAGTACTACTCCTCTGAAAGTGTTTTTAATACGATCAATGTGTTCAACATACTATACTCTCTCTGTTTCAAAAATCACTGACACACTTTGATTTCACAAATATTAAGGAAAATTTTGGTGAGACAAATTTACTATGGACTACACTCTTTTGACATTGTTTGACACTATTTTGCATTGTATTGTTTAACAATAGGGAAATGTGACATTCATTTTGAAACGTCCAAAAAAGAAAAATGTTTTTGCGCGATTTGTACTATAAAACAGTATTCATATCTCATTTATGAATGTGTATGTATAATAAGGAATGTTAGGCCTTGTTTGGTTCAGAGGAGGGGAGAGAATGAGAGAGTCGAGGAGAGAAGGGGAAAGAAGGATTTTGATAAAAATTTGTGTTTAGTTGGAGGAAATAGGAGGAAAGGTTTAATGGAAATATTTTCGCAATTTACTTTTATTTGATAGCTTACTTAAAAAAATAGATACATGTCTAATTATTGTGAATATTACTCCTATGGTCATGAGTCATAATTTTATTTTATTTGATTTTTTACTTTTTAATTTTATAATTTTTCATTTTTCAATTTGGAATTTTTAATTTTTAATTTTTATTTTTTATTTTTTTTTATTTTTGATTTTAAAAATTTATAATTTATAATTTATAATTTTTTAATTTTGAAATTTTTAATTTTTAAATTTTTAATTTTTAAATTCTTTAATCTTTAACTTTTTAAAATTTTAAATTTTTTAATTTTTCAAAACTTTTTGTTTTTTACCTTTTTATATTATAACGTTTTGTTCGTTCACGTAGTAGATGGATAGTTTGTGATTATCAACACGTTTTCTTCAGAATACCTCGATTTGGAGGGGTTAGAATGGGAGGAAGTGGAGGATTTTGAAAGCCTCCCACCTTCCTCCCATTCCCCTTATTTCCTTCGACCAAACACACACAAATCCCCCACTTTCCTCTCCTCCCCTCCGAAACCCTCCAACCAAACATGGCCTTAATTTACGAGTGGAGTCAGTAATAGTAACTCAAAGGTTTGTTTTAAATTTTATATTTTGATAATTACACACACTCTCTCTCTCTCACACACACACATATATATTGTATTATCTTACGATTAATCATTCATATCGTAAAGCCTTAATCCTATTCGATTTAGAAATACTCCGTATGGTTTTAACAACCTTATGTTGAGATGATACAATTCAAGTCGAAACAAGTTCACTTTGCTTCATAATCTACTAGTTCTCGTCAATAAATATCAGTACAATCCCATACTTTATTATCCAGTCAGTCAGCCTTAATCAATATGATCAGCGCTAGTTAGGACTGTGATGGAATTTGGATTGTCATGACAGAGTCTTTCAAAGTAAGAGCGTGCCAACCCAAACTTTCTTGCCATAGTGGACCGTATCCAGCCTGAACGATTTCCTGATTTACCGAAGACAACAACGGTTGTCCCCTCAGTAGCAAAGTTAGCTAAAGGAACTAATGCCTCGGGTTCAGTTACAGACGAGGCATCCACTAAAATGACATGGCTGAAATGCCCAGCCCTTAAGCCCTCGTTGTGTAGCCGGTAAGCACTCATAAAAGTGGTCAGGATTACCTTATACCTGCTGAGTTCATCACGCGAAGGGCAGAGAAAACATTCAGTTTCGTCTTCATATGTACAAGAAGGAAGTATGTCTTCGGGTACTTCTTCCCGTTCTCGGAATGCAGCATTGGCCCTAAAAATATCATGCTCAGGAATGAACAACTTGAGTCTTCTCAGGAGTTCGTCACATGTTGTGTTTGCTGGTGCGCACAAAAGGATCCGGTTTAGAGAAGATGCTAGAAACAGGTCCACCACAGTGTCCACAATGTAATTTCCAGTTTCCGATAAACAGTTTTTTTCCCCATTCCAAGTAATACATAATTGTCCCTGTACAAGGTGGGGTGGGAAGGCCCGGAGTCTCAAAATCTTTTCAATGAGAGAGGAGTGTTTGGGAACAAGTTTGCAGCTTTCTGGAAGGTATTTGGGGAAGACAAAATTTCTTAATAAGGGACCTGATGCAGATTCAATTGCGTGGTGAGCACGTTTCAAACAGACTCTGTTGAATGAGAACTTGACATCATATTTTTTGGCTGGATGGTGCTTATATAAGAAGTCATCTCCAAATTCTGATAATAAGAGATTGCTTTTCACCACCCTATAGACCAGGCCCTATAGTAGTGAATTACAAACATAAATGGTTCATGAGTACGCAGTAAATCAGTAAATGTGTCTACTTTGCAATTATTAGAGGTTTAGAGCTTACCTTAAAGATCGGGGAGTTCTTCCCTGAAGGTCTCAGTGAGACAAAATCCCGAGATAACAAGAAAGGCCTTTTTTCTGGAATTTTATCCATCTCAAATGCTACAAATTTCTTTTTGTCTTTTCGTTCATCCCTATTGTCTCTACTCTTTCTTTTGTAAATTGCTGCATCGTGCAACTCCAAGGTCACATCAAACATTTTAAAACCATCCCATTTCTAGAGAGTAAAAAAAGATGATGATCAGGAATCACAAGTACTTTCTTTGTGATCATATATAGATCCCGATACATTTTTAATTTGAATAAAATTTTGCCCATTAACACTGTTATTATTTTACAAAAGCTAAATCAAGTTTACACTAGTTTATGACACTACTAAAAACAATTGTAGACTCCAAGTTCATGTATTATGCTTTGAATCTTAATTAATACGTAAAATAGATACATGAGAAAATGGAAGAGTCCAATTACCTCGAGATAGTAGTCCTCGGCATACAATAAAGCACGGAAGTAGTCCTTGTAAGTTGAGATGGACAATGGCTTCTTCAGAGCATGTGGCACAATATCCATTTCGATTTGTCTTTTAATATCATCAGGAGCTGCATATGTTGGTGTTGCATCCTTCTCATCCCAAATGTATTGATTTTTTTCAGAAGACCAAGAATCGACACGCAAGGTTGGTTTGGTGGACAGAGAAGGCTTCTTTTGAGCATAAGATGGTGGGGAGGATGGTGCTGGTTTAGGAGAGGGTGAGGGAGATGGGGGCAGCTTGGCTGTATTTGGAAAAGGAAACTTATTCTCACGGGATAGCTGAGAAGAAGATGTCTGATAGGCGTATTTTGGAGTGGTGCTTTTACTTTGATTCTGAGAGTCTCTCGTCTTTGTAGAGTCTTCACTGAAAACCTTGTGTGAGGCGGGAGATGAATGAATGAATGAAAAAGAGCTTTTGTTGGCGGAGGTGATTTCCCTTTTATCCTCTGGGAATAAACTAGAAAGATAAGCAGCAGAAGCAGCAACATTACGATTTCTAAGTTCAGGATCGTGGTACTGCTTTCTCCAATCGGCTTCTGGTCGTCGTGGTCGATAGTCATCGGAATCGTTATCCCCACAGCCAAAAACGAATTGGATAATTGCAGCACAGCCGCGAAATATATCCATCCGCTCTCGTTCTGGCTTCGATGACTAAGGGCCACTTTCAGGCGTTCAATTCTTTATCATACGAGTACAAACCTGATGTAATCATATACATATAGAAACACATATACACTGTAATTAGGAATATGCGCATACCACTATATCAGTTCCAAATTATCCTGGAAGTAACTATGTATGTATACAGACGGATATAATATAAGATCAGCCTTGAGATCGAGAGCTAATTACCAGTTCATTAAGTTCTTAATCATCACTTTTCTGCAAACATTCGTGATAATTTGGGGAAGAAGATAGGTGAAGCGGAGTAGCGGACGTCGATTGATCGTCATCGAATAGAGCCAAAAGTTCTTAATCAGAATAGAGCCAATTTTTTTTTTTTGATCCACAAAAAAAAAATAGATGTCCTTTATTATTATCTCAGTTTTTTTGGATCAACAGAATAGAGCACAGTGTGGAAGTGGAAGTGGCAGAAGTGGAAGTGGAAGTTAGGGCTGCCATTTTGAACCGAAAAATCGAAAACCGAACAAAAAATAACCGAATCGTTTTAGAAAAAACCGAATCGGACTGAATTGAAGAAAATTGGGACCCAATAATCGGGACTTGAAAGAAATCGGTTCGGGTTCGGTTTATGTGCACAAAAGATCGGTTCGAACCGAACCGAACCAACATTTTTATATTAATAATAATACTCCGATGATGATATTAGTAATTGTTATTTATGATAATAATAATAATTAATGACGATTAATACAGGTATAATATAAACCCGAGTATGATTTGAACAAGATGAGTAGCGGAGTTGCTCGGTGTGCTCTTATCCCCAACAATATGTCATGGGATCGTTTCCCATTTGTGGCGGTTTGTTTTATTTTTTTAGAATTTGGCTTCTTTCCTATTCTATTTTTTCCCACACCGGAAAATGAGTAGCTTACTACTCCAAAAACTTCAATATAAACTAGGACCCCTTAGTGTAGGTTGGTAAGATGCGTCCTAGACTTCCAATTGGGCTAATGGGGCTCAAATATTGGCAAGTTCTAATTGGCTTTAGTCTATTGAATATTAGTTCAAATTTATTTATTACAATTACAATTGAGTTGGTTTTTCGGTTTCCGGTAAACTGAACCGAAAAAATCGGGCACAAAAAATCGATATTCGTTCTTTTAACGGTTCGGTTTCGGTTTTGATAATTTAGTAAAGTGAAATATCAGGTCGGTTTGGGTTTATATTGAATCGGTTCAGGTCTCGAACCGAATCCAGCCCTATGTTACATTTGTGTGGTTTTATACGAATCAAATAGTCTCTTCCTCACTATAATTGTTTTGTTTTTTCATTTTTGGGTATCCTTTATTATTATCTCATATCATATTGTTACATTTGTGTGGCTCTAATGTATTCTTATTGTATTCTCATTTTATCAACTCATTATCAATCACATAATTTTAATCTTTTTAAAAACTACATCACTCTCTTTCGTCCCAATATTAGAGAGACAAAGGGAGTCATTTATTGCTCGGTTCGGGATTCGAATTCATATAAGACGATTCGAATTCAAAAAAATCAAATAAAAATACAAATAAGAATACTAATTTTGATTCAAATTGTTATATTCGAATTGTTGTCAAATACAAATACGAAAATCAGTGTATTCGATTCGAATGTCAATCAAATATATTCGATTAATAATAATGGTAATATTAATAAGGGAAAAAGTGTAAATAAGCCCCCGAACAAACCGAAAAAGTGCAAATCACCCCTTTTATAGGAGTCTCTGTCCGGCCGTCACCATTTGGGCGGTTCTCGGTGGAATTTTTTGTTGAATATTTTTTAGAATCTTATTCATTAAATCTAGTTTACACATACCAAATTTCATCTAAAAATTCAACTGGGAAGGCAGTGAAATGATTTTCTGAAATATACTGCGCTGTTTAACTACAACGTTATCTTCAAACATTTATTTGACTGCCTTTCCGATTGCATTTTTAGCTGAAATTTGGTATGCGTAAACTAGACTTCATGAAGAAGATGCACAAAAAAAACTCATCAAAAAATTCCACCGGGAACCGCCCCAAATGGCGACAGCCGGACAGAGTCTCCTATAAAATGGGTGATTTGCAGTTTTTCAGTTAGTTCTAGGGCTTATTTGCCACTTTTCCCTATTAATAATAATAGTAGTACTAACACTATAATAACCTTTAAAAGCTAGTTATACCCTTTAAAAGCTTTAAAGCTAGTTATATACCACATTAAAAAAATATTATAATAACCTTTAAAAGCTCGTTATACCCTCAAAGTGTAGCTCATATATACATTTACATATACACATTTCAAGCAAATCGGCACTCGTTCTTTTAACGATTCGGTTTCGATTTTGATAATTTAGTAAACCGAAATATCGGGTCGGTTTGGGTTTATATTGAATCGGTTCCGGTCCCGAACCGAACCCAGCCCTATGTGGAACTATGGATTAGGGTTTTATACGAATCAAATAGTCTCTTCCTCACTATAATTGTTTTGTTTTTTCATTTTTGGATATCCTTTATTATTATCTCATATCATATTGTTACATTTGTGTGGTTCTAATGTATTCTTATTGTATTCTCATTTTATCAACTCATTATCAACCAAATATTTTTTTTAAAAAAACTACATCACTCTCTTTCGTCCCAATATTAGAGAGACAGAGGGAGTAATTTATTGCTCGGTTCGGGTTTCGAATTCATATAAGACGATTCGAATTCAAAAAAATCAAACAAAAATACAAATAAGAATACTAATTTTGATTCAAATTGTTATATTCGAATTGTTGTCAAATACAAATACGAAAATCAGTATATTCGATTCGAATGCCAATCAAATATATTCGATTAATAATAATGGTAATATTAATAAGGGAAAAAGTGCAAATAAGCCCCCGAACTAACCGAAAAAATTCAAATCACCCCTTTTATAGGAGTCCCTGTCCGGCCGTCACCATTTGGGCGGTTCCCGGTGGAATTTTTTGTTGAATATTTTTTAGCATCTTATTCATTAAATCTAGTTTACACATACCAAATTTCATCTAAAAATTCAACTGGGAAGGCAGTGAAATGATTTTCTGAAATATACTGCGCTGTTTAACTACAACGTTATCTTCAAACATTTATTTGACTGCCTTTCCGATTGCATTTTTAGCTGAAATTTGGTATGCGTAAACTAGACTTCATGAAGAAGATGCACAAAAAAAACTCAACAAAAAATTCCACCGGGAACCGCCCCAAATGGCGACGGCCGGACAGAGCCTCCTATAAAAGGGGTGATTTGCAGTTTTTCAGTTAGTTCTAGGGCTTATTTGCCCCTTTTCCCTATTAATAATAATAGTAGTACTAACACTATAATAACCTTTAAAAGCTAGTTATACCCTTTAAAAGCTTTAAATCTAGTTATATACCATATTAAAAAAATATTATAATATTTTTAAAAGCTCGTTATACCCTCAAAGTGTAGCTCATATATACATTTACATATACACATTTCAAGCGAATTTGCAATAAATCAGAAGTATCATAAGGAGTAAGGGTTCTAAATGAAGCAAATGATTTTAATTCAATTCGTGATTTGGACTCAAATTGTGATTTAATGTGTGTGCGCATCAACTACTCACTATATGTATGCAGTATAAACTATATATCTATTGCCATTTTTTATTATCAACAATGCTAAATATCTAAACATAAAATTACAGTTGTTTGACTTTGATATATACAATTATCAACTTATTTCACATATTATATGCATAATTTCTAATGTGTGTGTGTTAGTGTTTATTTAAAAAAATTTTGAAATATATAATTATGTACAATAATAATAAAATTGGTTCACTTGTGTATATCGTGCACAATCTAAAAATGCATCCATTCATTAACTTTTAAAGAAAAATGTAATGTTACAAAATAAATTCTAACAACACATATTAAGTCATAGATAGTGTGCATTTATAACATAAAAACATACAAAAAGTTGTTTTAAATTAATATTTGACTACTATTTAACTTATGATCAAATCGATTCGATATTCATACATGATTCGTTTAACTATTCGTATTATTAAACAAATATGAATACAAATAAAAAATAATATTCATTTCATATTTGAATTCGAATTCGTATTCGAAACAATTAAACAAATACAAATACAAAAACACATTACTCAACTCGATTCGGTTCTTTTACAACCCTAGTGTAGAGTGGCTGTCTATTTAGCAATTAAAAAAAGAGCATATACATTAAAGGACACGGATTTAAAAAGAGTTTTGTCATCTCCGCTAACCAAAGTGCTTTCATCCCGGGTCGTTCGATAGTAGATAATATTATGGTAGCTTTTGAAACACTCCATTTCTTGAAACAAAAAAGGCAAGACAGGGATGGTTTTGTAGCACTTAAACTTGACATGAGTAAAGCATACGAAGGGGTTGAGTGGAGATATTTAAGAAGGATCATGTAGAGTATGAATTTCGATCCCAAATGTATTAATTTAATCTTGGCGTGTTGTTCGTCGGTGGAGTACTATATCCCCTTTGAAGGTGATATGGCTGGACCAATTAATCCGACAAGAGGACTTTGACAAGGGGATCCGTTGTCGCCTTACCTTTTTATTCTGAAAGTAGGAAGGTTTGAGTGCTCTAATTCGGCGACAGGAGAGCATGTGCAATGTTTTGGGAATTACAGTGGCTAGACGGGTGATAGAGTATATGGCCCAGGGACCCCCAGCCCACATACTTCCTCTACTACAATCAGGCCCAACAGGTCCAAACGGGCCAAGCCCAGCAAAATGGAGCTCTAAGCAGCCCACAATACGCAAAGGGGTGCCTTCGGCCCCATGGCCAAAGGCTACCAGTGATGGAATCGAGCTCAGAATCATCACAGGAGAACAAGGCTTGAAAACCAAGCCTCCAGCAACTGCAGCCCTCAACAGGTAGGAGCCCTCGGTTAGAAGAGCCTTTGACCCAGCACCCTTCAGCCGAAGGCATCCACCTCGACAGAATATCCTCTTCACATGCGCCAGGATCACCGTACCAAGTACAAACGTCACATCCAACCATCGCATTTAATGCGGCCACATGCGAGTGCCAGTGCCACCCCGGTCGAGGTGACCCCTCGACCACCAGAAAACTGACACGTGTCCTTATCTAGCATTTATTACTACTATAAATAGCACCCCTTTCCCCCATTGTAAACCACGCTTAATACATATCGAATATACACTATCTCTCTTACTTATTTGCTCTGACTTCTCTCTAGTTATTCTCCGCAATAACCCCTCGGATAAGCTACCCCCGGGTACACTATCCATCATTTGGTGCTCTCGTTGAGAGTTCGAACAATCAAGTATGAAACCCTCCCCTTCAGCTAAAAACACCTATCAAAATGGGAAGAAACACCCGTGCCCAATCCAAGACTCATGAGGACAGGAACCTGGCCCTCAGCGACGTCG